CCCCCCCCATGAACAGCATCAATAGAGGTTGCCGTTGCGGCACCACGGGTCAAGTAATTTGTCGAAAATGCATTGATACAAGAAAGCAAGATGTCAACGTAGCTCCTGTGAAAACGGCTCAGCAACTGCGCCTGATGAACTATGAAGGCCTGGGAGGCCGCTCGAACGAAGCAAACACCCCGAGAACGAAACGTGCTGGTGTGATGCCTGTATGAGCTGGTGTAGCTTCTCAAAGTATCGTATTAGCTAGGTAAATACGGGTAAAGGACGAGGTAAATAGATGCATTTGACTACGAGGGTCTCACTTCACTTCCCGGAGGTCCAGGTATCTCAAGGCTATTTGCTCACTTGTGCTGCTGCAAATGTGCAGAAACCAACAGACAGGTGTGCTTTCAAGACAACCAGACCTTCCCCCTATTATTAGTAGTGCCTACTACAGCATATTAGGTTTATGTGTAGTGGCTTCGATACCTGCGAGCTAGGGAGACCCATCTGATTCCACTTCATCATCTAGTAGTGACTCTGGAAGAAGTGCCTTGTCAAGGCCATTCAGCAGTTCATTTACTTTCTGTCTTAGTGCTGCATTCGCTGCAACGGCCTTTGCAAGTTGCTGCTGGAGGCGCTGCCTTTGGTCCTCAGACTCCCTTCTCAGTCGTTCTTGGCGTTGTTGTTCCTCCATTAGTCTCTGTGCTGCCGCTGTCTGCCGCCTGTCTGCAGCTTCTTGTATTCGTGCCGCCTTTGCTTCTGCCAAAGCAGTCAGGCTTTCAAAGCGCCTCTTGGCGTCTGCTGTTTCTCTGTCAGCCCTGCGCTTCGCCGCATCCCTTTCTGCTTCTGTTGTTGCTAGCCTTGCTGCTGCATCAGCTAACTGCTGCTGTTGGGTATTACAGGTCTCCTGGAGTTGATCACACTTCTGCTGAAGCAGAGCGTGTTCCTGTTGCAGCGCAAGACGGCCGGTCTCCGCTGCTGCAAGGCTGTCCTCCAGCTGCCTTTTGGAAGCTGTTAGTGCTGCAGCCTTTGAGGCGGCGTCCTTACTTTGTGCGTTTAACGATTCCTTCAACCTTGCAACTTCAGCCTCAGCTGCAGCTTGCGCCTGTTGCTGATGCTGTTGCACAGTCCGGTGATGCTTCGCCGACGACGAGAGTTCGTTTCTTGCCTGTTCAGCATCTGCGCTTGCTGCAGCGGCTCTTCTTTCTGCAGTCTCCAGCTTCACCATGGCCTCTCCATGTGCTCGTTGCAGTGCCTCCATTTGTAGGCGCAGCTTATCTGCTACTTCCTCGGCCTGCAATGCTCTCTTCTCCAAAGTGTCACCCTGGGCAGTCCGCAAAATTTGTATCTCCGCCTCATGCTGCCCCCTTAACTGATCTAGATGGTGCTGCAGCAGCGCAGCGCTTGCAACAGCCTTCTCTTTCTCAACTACTGCGGCGTGGAGTTGTTGTGTGGTGTTCTCTGCCTGCTTCCGTGCTTCCTCGGTCTCTCGTGTTTGAGCCGACAGTCTTTCTTCTAAATAGTCCGCCACTTCCTTTGCAGCAGCTGTTTCCCTGACTGCTGCTTCCGTTTGTTGTTTCAAAGCGTCAAGTTCTTTCTGTAACGAGGCAGCTGTCTCAGCTCCAGTGCGTTCTCTATGCAGCTCCCTTTGCAGGACTTCCTGTTGTTTCACCGCATCTGCCAGTGATACAGAAAGCCTTTCCGTCTCCTTTTCTGCCAGAGCAAGTTTCCTGGACAGCTCGTTCTTTTGTTCCTCTACTTCCTGCAACTGCAAGGCCTGCTTCGCCACTGTATCCTCCTGCTTTGTCAGCGCCTCTTCCTTTGCTGCAACAGCTGCAGCCCGTCTCTCTGTCTCCGCCATCATCACTCTCATATCCTCCAGTGCAGCTTCGCTCTGTTGTACATGGCATTTAAGTAGGTGGTTTTGGCTTAGAAGCACCTCGCTTTGCTCAGACGTCAACGTATAGAGCTCTTCCAGCTCATTCCTTTCTTGGAGAAGGGAGTTGTACGTTTTCCCTCCGCCATTGCCGCCTAGAGCACCGCCAGCCTCGGCTTCAAAAAGCTGGTGAAGGCGGGCTGTCTTACTGCGAAGCTCTTCTGCTAGCTGTTCGTTTTCTCTCGTTACTCCTGCCACTTTTGCACTGAACCCCTCAATTACCCTTTCCTTTTCCTTCGCTTCCTCTTGAAGTTCCAGTATTCGTTCATCGTACGCAGCAAGAAGTGGGCTAACAAGCTGCATGTTGAGACACCAGGGAGGCAATGGCAGCGCTTCTGCCTGGTGTTGGAGCTCTGCTGCCAGTGCAGGAGCTCGGAGAGGGGCGTCACCGCCTGCTGAAGCGGCTGCAGCTGCCACAGCTTGCGACAGGCGAGCGCTTCTAAGCTCCTTGGTTACTCTCTCTGCGTAGCCTCTCAGGGCTGCGTTCTCCTGTTGAAGCCTTACTAGCTGCTGCATCAACGCCAACTCCTGAGGATGCATCCTCGCCGCGATTGACGGATGTGGTATAGCACGATGGGTTGTCCCTGGTTGCCAGTCTCCTCCTACACCCTGCTGCTGCGGCTGAGGCTGCATTGTGCCTGGGTCTCTACCGAAGCGGCGGTCATTCAATGTAAGAGGGAAGCGCACAGCTGCCCCTGGGCTTCTTGCAGGGCTGTCCTCATGAAGCGTTTAAATAGCTATAATGTACAAGCAAGGACGTGTAAGCTGTAGGCTGGCGGAAAACAAACTAGGTCACGCATATATGCATATCAAAACGAAGTCAACCCCTAACACTGCACCGTTTCTGTGTGAAGGCATCGCTTGTCCTGTAGCTGCTCACCCAACTTGAAATCTATGCATTTTCAGGTCTCCATAAACCACAGGCACCATCCCTAAATGCTTGACTTTAAGCCAGGTGGTCCTACGTTGGTTGATCTAAGACTGTGCTGTTCATCTTGTACGAGCTACCAAGCAACGCCAGCTCCCCTAGGACTGGTATATCGTAGGGTCCTGCAGCCCTAGCTAGTCCGTGGGACCTTAGAAAAGACTATCACCAGACTGGAAACCGGAGTTCACTTGACTAGGCTCTGTAAGTATATATTTACATTGCCAGGTTAAGCAGGTCTGAAGTGCGTGCATCTGGGTTGCAGTTGCTTGCTCCAGTGCATGCGTGATTGGTGGCTCTCTGATTAAGCTCGAGAGAACCAGATTTTCTTCGGTCTTAGGTTGGAATTGAAACAACTAAGGAGTTGGAGGACTTGTTGCTTGGGATGTTCATTCATGCTCATCCATTCACATGTGTAACCTGGAGGTCACCTGGTCCGTGCTCGTCATCTATCACGACGAATCAAGTACTTCGTGCAGCTGGTACGTCCCATTTTCTGGAGAAAAGTATCCTATAAATAAAATACAGCCGACGAGGAGACGCGTAGGATTCCCTACGCTGCGTTAGTAGTCCAGGGGTAGGATGCAACCCTCCCAAGGTTGCGACCCGGGTTCGAGTCCCGGCTGACGCACTTGCTTCGGGGGTAACCAGGCCGATTCGGCGCTTGTTACCTCCTCCGTATGCTCCTATAGCCAATAGAAGATAGTTCACTCTTGCGGTTGGAAATGCCTTAAACGCAGTATAGCCGCGCAAAAGTACACTGGGATAAAGGAATCCTGTGACCTTTGTCTTTTTGTAATTTATCTCTGACTGGTGGGTTCATCCATGCGCTCTCACGCGCAACTGCCTGAAAGCCCACTGCATGCTTCCGCCCCTTAACGCTGCAAGAAATTTTCGCCGAAACTAGCTCGGAAATAGAATGCCCTCACTTCCGTCCATTCATTCGCCCAGCAGAGAGATGAAGAGTAGGGGCTTGTTGCAGCTTCACCGTTAATATCGATTTACCACTGGATATCACAAGGGGAACATGTCGGTGAACTGTCACACTCGTAGACAGTTCCGTGCACCTAAATAACGCAGTACACGGTCTCTCACTGGCACGATGTATCCCCCCACGACTATCTAATGCCTTACTTTAGGGTCCTTAGCCTAGCACGCTCGCCCATATGCTGTAACAGAAGTTGTGTTTTGTTTTGCATTGCCAGTGCCTAAATTTCGTGCTACTAACTCTCGCAAGTGGTCCTCCCGTTATCTCAGACCGGCGACCTCTTCAACCCCAACTACGGGAGGGCCACTTGCTGGATAGCAGCTACCAATATCAAGTATGTTGCGCAAAAAGTAGGAACTTGCTGTATCTCCACAGCACAGATTGGGCAGTGCGCGCAACAGGATGTGGCTGTTGCTATGCCTTTCCTATTGCAGAAGTAGAATCACCTGATTTATTTTCGTGACTATGCCGGTGGTGCAAATGCTTAGCCCGGTCACGCACTAATCAAGATCACATATTACTGAGATTCTGCAAGATTCGGCTGGAATCCCCTAGAACCAGCACTGAAAATGACACGCGTGTGCTTATTGGGTTTCGGCAACAGGAGATGCTGCCTCATCAGTTGCGTTAGCCTTTCACAGCACATTTTGCGTGCACGTTGTTATCCCATGAATGCTAAGGCAATTGTTTTTCTTCTCTCAAAGCTGGCGCTGTAAAACCGTCTGTTGATGGCACCGAACTCACATGTCCGGAGGGCTCCGGCATACTGCAAGTCACACCCACTACAGTGGTTGTCCCTTCATTCGTTACCTCATTCAAACTACAGGCATGCTCGCATCCTGAGTCTTTCAGCCACTTTTTGGTAATTGCTTCGCACTGCTCCGTTGCCGCCAACAGTTTCTGAGAGATGCCTGAATAAGCAAACCTAGCATAAAGCATTGAGCGCGTATTCTACAGAAGGCCCCAGCACGAGTATTGTGGAAGAAGTAAGCCGTTGATCAGAGGAAAGCGACACAATTATACTGCAATGCTCAATCGTTACTAAATTCAGAATCAAGATATTTCTAAGTTGTATGGCGATTGCGCCGTTCGATGCCACCTCATCTCTGAGACTGTCAGCGTACCTATGTCATGTCGTTGTGCAGCTTCCTTGGATATCCTCTCTAGTGCCAAGTTGATTTTCTGGCGGTGTGCTTCCTGTTCAGGTGCGCATGTTAGTGTCCTCATCATATTTTTCATGTTCGCCGATGCCATCAGTGTCAAAGGGGGACTGGAACAGAACTTTACGGGCGGCTGCGCACTGTGCCTGTGATACTGCGTTAGCACGAATTCAAAGGCATGCCTCCCGGTGTGCTTGGGCTCTTGAGTTTGTAGTTAAACGCCCCACCTGCAAGCGACGCAGAGTCGATACGTGGCCCCGGAGAATTTCTTGTTCACGCTCCTTTTGAGATTTTATCACCTTTTGTTCCTCGTCCCAGCCGCCTCTAAACCAGGCAAGTGCTGATTCGTGGTCTTGTTCTTTGACGGGGCGATCGTCAAGGTACCGCAACGCTGGGAGGTCTGCACAGCATGATTGTTGAACTTATCGTTAATGTTACTGTCCAATAACATTTTAGAGCCCGAGGAGAACTTTTTGGCGGAAAGGGAATCTACTACCTGAGAATTCTTAAGGGGCATGCATGACGGTCACTCTTGGAAGCTTTGTTCTACTGGCCCGTACTTGCGATCAGTGTCCGCCGATACTGAAAAATTTGTCTTGTCACTGGGTTTCCCATCAAGCACAAAGTAGCAAGGCCAGGCAGAGACTTAAAGCACTCCACAAATCCTCTGCTTCCTTGAGCATGCGGCGTTACGGTCACTGACTCTTCACCCACTGCCGTTGGCGCATCGGTAGGCAATACCGCTAAGTCTAAAGAGTTCTCGTCTTCCTTTCGACTTTCCACCATCACATGGTGGCCACTTTGGGCCCGTTGATTCACATAGGTTCCGTCCTGGTAGTGCTGTTCTTCGAGCTGGGTGTCGCCGTTTTTCTGAAATGCTAAAGGAGCAAGTGTCGTAACTACTCCAGTGTTTTCAAGGGCCTCTGGCTTGCCAGGTGCCCCAGTTTTGTCGTGGAAGCATAGAGAGTTGTAAGATACGTCTACATTCGTTAAGCTTGGGCATTCTCGTAGGGCCAAAATGTCCTGCACAAATTAAGCAATTCTCGCACAGCAGCAATAGAAAGTCAGCTACCAATGCATGAGCTCCCCAAAAGCATTCTGCTCACCGAGAGAGAGGTAAGTTTGTTACGGGAAATCTTGAGGGACGAGAGCCGTTTTAGCTTTTCAAGACCTTCTATGCGGGAGATGCTATTCTCTGACAGGTCCAAAATAACTAGATCCGGGCAACTGTCGAGGTTTTCGATACATGTCAATCCATTTTGTGCCAGAAACCTACGATAAACCAGAAAGGCGTAGACTGCAATCGAAGCCGAATTAAGTCTACAGCTCCTACACAGGCTTTTTTTAGGCTCAACTGTTATTTGCACAACTATGCATGCGTATGCGCAACGAAGATGCCGCGGTTGATATAGACGGAGACATCTCACAAGCACTTGAGCTTTGAGAGAGGGTGTAGATTTTCGAGCCTTCGAATACCATTTCCACCTAGCCAGAGAGCTTGTACCTCCGTATACTCGTCAAGATTTTCAATCTTTTTGAACCCTCGACGATGTAAATATAGTTTCGTATTTAACTCTGGCCGCCCGTACAACCCTGACTCTGTTACGAAGGACGCGCAAGACAAAAGTTTCGCTCGTTGTGGTACACTGCATGCGGCACCGATTGCCCACAACGTCTATGATGCTCAGCCAGCCAGTACGAGCGTTCACCACTGTATGTACCTTGACATATTTTCCGGATCAACTTCTTTGTCATCTTCACCCCATCATCCGATTCTGCTATGGCCGAACTAGCTGAATGCTCTGGCTGCGTGCTACATGAGGATGCTTCTTGGGCTAGGTTTATCTTCGGATTTGCGCTTTTTTGTTGGTTATTCTCAAAGGGCTGCATTTTTTGGTCCGTCGTTGCCTGCCCCATGACCTCTTGGAGGACAATTGGTGCCTTACACGTCAACGAGCGAAGCGGTTTGAGAAGTTGCCACGAATGGGTTCAGCCCTGTGTAGAATGTGTATAGAGTTATCGAGTTGCGTGGAATGGTATTTAACAGAGGTCAGGTCGAAGCCTCCCCAATCAAAGCCTCCTGCACCTATTGCGTCCAGGCCAGCTGGAATGCCCAACAGCCCTTGGTGAACTAACTGCTGGCAACTCGACGGAGCATGGCGGCTATCTACCCATCAACAACCCAACTAAGTGGCGAATCTGCCCATGCTTGAAATGATGAATTAGAGACACTTTTTTTTTGTAATAGGGTACACAATTGAGGCGATTCGTCACAAGCACAAGTGCTGTACAACCGTTGACTGCTCGTTGGAATAAGCGGTTTGATCGACCGCCTCCACAAAATTGAGATTTTCCTGCAGACCTAAGGTATTCACTGGTTCATCTACTCTATTGAGTTCTTGTTTCCAGTCACAACAACTTGCCCCTTTAGAGCGTCTCAGGCACATAAAATCGGTGTGCACCCCAGGAGTGGTCCCACCATCAGGAAGATAGCAGCAGAGACTAGTGTAAAGTCTGGCGCTCTTTATGCATACTATGAACTTACTTACTTCAGACGGTTTTTTATAGGAGCATCATGGGGCACAAGCCCCCGTACGGCTAGGCAGCAGTTGAGCGACTGCCCAGGTCACGCACAACACGATCCCGACCCTCTCTGCGCTCGACAGATATTGAAGGCAAATTTAAGAACATTTAGTTGCAGAACTGACAGCTTTGGCGGTCCGGACTCCCTTGAAGCGGTCCTCCCATCTCGCCGAACAGCACCACCATCGCAAGGTAGCTCTGCACACTGTTCTCGGTAGGAGGGAGACCCCGTCCTCACTGCTGTGAAAAATCTTAAGACCGATCCTTTTGCACAATTTACACCATAATAAATGTGCTTAATACAGTTGATCCCAGCAGGTGACCCTGTGTAGGCCACAGATGCTCGGATCCGTTCAATGCCCGCCTGCCCAGCTCATGTTCAGGGAATCTAGATTATAAAGGCAACCCTATTGAAGAAACCTCTCTACTAATTTGCCTTTGCAATTCAAGATTGCTCAGACCCATCCGAGTGCGGAGTAGGATCGTGAACACCGTGTAGTTAGCTCCTCCTTCAAACCAGAGCCAGCCCCGTTCCTGAGTTTCTTGTGGCGTTGGCTCTACTCTAAGTAAAAGGTGGGAATAATTTCCATATATTGCATGCTTTCCTCCCGCGTTAGTTTCCATACCAGAGTTTGCTCCGTTCAGCAATACCTTGTCAACCTTTCCCATCTACGCTATTTGCTTGGTACACGTGACCTAGCCGGCAGGGAATGGCCATTCTTGCCCCACACTATTCTCCAACAGCCGCTCATTTTAACTTCTTGAGAGTTTCCATAAAGAAGTAATACCTTAACGGCTTCGAAAAGTCACGAGTTCGCCGGACAACCCGCGTTTCTAGCAAGTTTTTGGCAAAAAGGCCTGTATGTTATTGCTCGAAAATATTACAGGATATTACTAATATTGTCTTATTTGGATTGCTCAAGGCGCATTTCACTTATTAGGAGATTCACCACACCTTGATGGGAAACTGTTTTTGAAAAAAGTTAACTCTGCACAATCGTGAAGATTTACCATCTTGTGTAAAAGCCACGTTTGAACTAAATATGCTTTGTTTGAGGCAGAAGGAGCGGGAGGAGCAGCAAAACGAGGAGTTGAAGTAGGAGGCATGACCGCTAAGCGACGTTTCACTCTGCAAGTGCAGGTAGATATTTGAGACCGATGAGTTCCCCGTCCACCAACAGCTCGTTATCCAGGGCTTGTACGGGGGTCTTCAACCGCCCCTTTACACTGCGTGACGATCCAGTTTGCAAAAAGTGCATTCGGTGATGCCACCAAAGACCGACCGTCGTAAGACCTTATCTCACCGGTTTCCCCACTGAAATATCCAATCCCTATGGCTCACAGGCAGAACAGCAACAGTAGTCAACATCAATGTGTAGCACAAGCCCAGCGGAACTACTAGCATGTAGTGCTAGGTACAACGCTCTCCACACAGCTACGTAAAGTGGCATTACCTGCGTCGTAAGTCCCCTTTGGCAATTTCACCGTCCTCTGTTGCACTGCCCGCTGGGGATCAAATCCGTCTTGAACTTCCTCTACAAAGCGGCGATCACTCGGCGCAAGGTAATTCCAGTTTTCCAGCTGGTATGGAAGCCCATCCTTAAAGGAATAGTTGCCACTGACAGCCAGACCTTCTTCCCATTCAGCAGTGTATCGACCACCATCGGGATAAATGAGAGCCCCTATGAATTACAAAGTTGAAGTTAAATTAACAAAGCGATCGCACATCAAATGGTTGGAAACAAGCAACCATGACACTACACTATACAGGCGGTCTCGCCACACCGAGCTTGCCAGAGCGTAACTTGCAATGAGCTAACGTCTGTTTGCTTAGTTCCCTTCTGCTATGCTGAGTCATAATTGCAGTAGGCTCATCTAGTTAATGTGCTCATTTTTTGGGTATGTTGTTGACTCGATAACTGCTTTTCTGGAGGTTAATTGCTGCATCCGGGACCCCTCTGTTGACCAAAGCCACCGGTGTGTGAAGACATGTGAATGCCAACATGTTAGTTGTTTTCTCTTCTAGTAGCCGGAACCGATTGCGTCCTACAATGGATTTCAAAAGTTTTGAAGCTCGCTTTTCGTGTCGCTTGCTTGTACTTACCCTTTCCGTGGAAATTACCCCCCTTGAACTGGCCCTCATAGACAACCCCATTCGGAAGCACGCATCTCCCTGCTCCCTCCAGCCAGCCGTTGACCATAGGGCCGCTAAGGGAAGATCCGCTCCAGCCCTGCTCCATCGTTAACGGGCCCAAGAAGAACCGTCACAAAAGCTTGGCCTTCCAGTTGGGCCTATTCAGGATATTGCATTCTCATTGCCTATCCCTGGGCTTCCGTGGTTCATGCCTACAATATAGCTGGTTTGCAATGTTCGAAACAGCAATTCTTTCCTTCTCGTCCTGACGATTCAACTCCCCTGGAACGTGCCCACCGGTGGCTCGGAGTAGAAATCACAGTTTAAAAGGTGAAAAAGGCGTTGTTTAGTATGTGGAGGGGCAGTTCAATTCGATGTTTTACGTGGCTGCACGGGCAGGCTTGGTTCTGGTGTTCAAAGGCTCAGCCCCTGAAGCAGCGCCGGCGCACGACAAGTCCGTCAGAAAAGCATAAGCAAGCCGCATGAACTCATTTGGTCGAGTATGCATTTTGTTGAGCATGGAGGAGGCTACAGACAGTTTATGGGAATACAGTGCCGATTTACATGCGGTTTCAGCTCCCGCTTCGCGGAGCTCAACCATCACGGGAACGGTCACCTTAGCCGGGGTGCCATCCCAGGAGTTCTTCTTTTCTGAAATATTGCAAATTAAATAGCCTTATCTCCTCAATATGCTTGTGGCCAAGCAGGTTTGCTGAAGTCCATTGTTCTGGCGCATATCTGCAAGGCCCGTCCACGGTCGATTGTCTCGAGTAGGCACTCGACCGAGCATGGAAAGCTGCCAAGTATTTTTGAATGATTTCTCATCATCCTGCCTTTAATAGCTTTTTAAGTTCAGCTGAGCTGCGGCGCACCCTAGGGTATGGGCCTTTAAGTTTCCCCGAGTTTCTTCCGATCGGGCAGAGATGAACTCGTTGAGTAGCCTACAACCTGGAAGCCGCCTAGCTGTAGATCCATCGGACCACACTGCATTAAACTCGTTTTTCTTGGACAAAGCGCCACTCAGAGACCCCGACTCCACCGGAAGAGTACCGGCAGCAGTGGCATCATTTCAACAGATCGCCAACTCCCCTCTGCATGGCGCATCGAACGGCGGGCTGCAAACAGAAGCTAGCCCAGCCCGTGTTTTGACAAGTATGGATAGCAGCGGGTCGCTGCCTGAACCTGCAGAACTGAGGCAGCTCGCGCACATAGTGCCGTTGCGTAGTCCTGGGGAGTCTTTCGCTCGCATGTACATCTTTGACTGGGACAATACGCTGTGCCCAACCGACTGGCTTTGCGAACTCTACTCACGCTGCGGGCAGAGCGTCTATACAGCCAAAAGGCCTTGCGCCGCACTGTGTTCTCCTGTTATTAAAAGCCGTTTGGCTGTTCTTGAGACCAGCGTTCGACGCCTCTTACAAAAGTGCACAGAACGTGGCCAAGTGGCAATTCTTTCCAACGCTACCTCCATCGGTCTTCTGAAGACTCTCAGGCTCCTCCCACTTGTCCAGCGAACGCTTACTGAGCTCAGTGAGTCTTCTTTGTACCTGCTGCTCTGCTGGCAGCAAGTGAGTTATTGTACCTTAAGCAGGCAGCAATCTCTTTAAACCCCACACTAGTTACTAGGGCTTTTAGAGCTGCGGCTGATTACTCGCCGTTGCAGAGGTGCAGGTCGTATCAGCTCGGGACATGTGTGAGCCTCACGGGCTTCCACTGGAAAAGTGGAAGGACACCGCCCTTGTCCGACTGGTCACTGCCTTTATAAGCAAACGCCCGCAACAGAAACACTCAATCATGACAATTGGTATGCCAATATCTGCTTTTTTCCCCCTTAGAGCACCAATGTTACAAGAAAGCCCGAACTGCAAAATGCTTTCCCTGCTTCCCATCGTTGTTTTGATAACAGGCAAAGACAGGTATGGGATCAATCGCGACCTTGGTTATATGTGGCTCTTATTTTGCTGATTGCAGGAGACCAGCAACTTGAGCACATCGCATTGCACAACGCAGCAAACCATCTGCAGCTAAGCTTCGGATGGGAATGCCATCCGAAATGCATAAAATACGTGGAGAGCCCGTCTTTAGAAGCCCTTACACGGCAGACGCTGTTCCTGACTGAGCTCGTCGACAGATTCGCTGATGAGGAGAGCGGGACGTTTTGTATGCAGCTAAAAGATGTATACTCAGGGAGTTCGGTGCCGTCCACGCATTGCTGATGACCCTACGTCAGCACTCTGGATCAAGTGCATGCTAGTGGTCTCCGTGAATCATGGCGGTTAATAGTTCTTGCCCACCGCACTAAATCCTGGGGTTGGTTGAGCCTTCTTACTTTGTCTCCTACACACGATCGCAGCATTTCTCTACCTGTCGCAATCTCCCTGAATCAATCTAACTCTGCAAAATGATTTCTTTGGTTTGTAAAAAGGAATACTTTCAGCACTCCGCTTACCCATTTTTGACAAGTCATTAATTAATGGTACATGAGGGAAGCAAGGTTCACGCGCAGTACCTACGCAAAGCCATGGGTGGTTGCGCATCCTGAAAAGAGCTTTGCTGATCTGTCGATCATCTACACACTGGCAGCAGTTAACTCTTGTCGCTTATCCACTGGAAAACAAGTTAGAATCACGCAACCTGACTCTTCGTCACGGTGCTTGACCAATCCTTCTGCGCTTGCGTCTATTAAAATATTGATGCGACCTTGCAGTAGAATGAGGCCGCTTAGTACAAGCACCCGCGCAAACAAGACTCGCGTTGAAGTAGCCTCAAAACTTTCACTGGTTCCAGTAGAAAAGGCGCTTTTCGGCGGCACGCCAAGACCCATGCAACCCCAATCAATTTCGCAACTCCAGATGTTTCGTTTAGTAGTGTTGGCTTAGGCTTTCTAACCGTACTTGAAGCTAGCCAGGTGTGGCAGGGGAGGAACACAACATTTCTAGTACTGTCAGCCTTCCAAAGTTTCATTCGAAAGTCCACGCTAAAGCTTACCATGCATAAAAATTTTTTTGGTCAGACCGGTCAAGAAGCGCAACACTCGTGGTGGAATCTGGGAGCATGAGCTTTTTCTTCGGAAGAATTTATAGAATCTTCCTGCAGTGATTTTCACACATTGCGCTTTTAAGCATTTTAGCTTCTACTTGGCGTGCTTGCGTGCTGCACTATTGGCACTACGAAAACCTGGAAACAGGCTGTGGCGGCCTTCTGATTGCAATTTGTTGTGGTTAGCGATGCTGATCCTTCTACTAAAGTATCAGAACTTTCAGAATGAGTTGAATTAAGTCCCTAGTCCGGAAAGAGAATATTGATTCCTTCATCACGTTTGTAGCACAGTAGTCGTAGTAATCTGTTTTTGAAGTCTATTGTGCGAGCTCTTTCACGTGTCATCGATTATGTGTGTTGCACCCCTTATTGATGCACAAAAATACAAGTGAAAGTGTTCCTGAGTACCCTGTAGCCTTCCAGGAGTACACAGCACTCAGGGTGCTACAAGAAAGCATATTAGAAAGGGAAGTGAAGGGACGAAAAAACATCTTGTTCATTGCAGACAGGCCGTTATACAGGATCCGCAACTTCGTCAGCGCAATTACTATGGACTATACACAGCCGCCAGTCATCCCTTTCACATTTTAAGCAACAGCGGATTCGGTAACCTTCCCTGACAGTCGATAAGTGGATGGAGTGTTCCCTACAGCATTTCCTTCAGGCATGGTCCTGGTGGGATCCGCTAATGAAAAGTAGAACCTGAGAGCGTGATAATGCCACGTCATGGCTTCAGAGAAACACAGAGGGATTTAAGTTTCTTTTGTACACCAAGAACACGAAAAATTTGCCTTGAGGCAGGTTGCAATTCCGGGGGATTCAGTACTCGCGAGGAACCGGGAATACAGCATCTGATGGAATGTGCATTTGCAAACCCTAAGTACGTGGAAAACCTGGTCGACCTTCTGCGGTGCTTATAGAGCAGAAGAACTCCCGTGAAAATCGGCTTGGCATTGACCGTACCTAGAAGAGAGCCATCCTGTGCCGCCGTCCTCCAAGGAACCAGCTTCACTGGAAGGGACAGACATGAAATTTTTTCAAGCGTCAAACTGTCCTTCTGGATGAACGTTATATAGATATACGCGGCAAATGCACAAAATCTGCATCTCTTTTGGATGAACGAAAAGCGTAATCCCAGGATACAAGAGATGGCATGGTTCAGGGCGCTTAGCTATCTTTGCCCGCACCCACCTTTTACTGGATTTAAAAGGCATCTAGTCTCTTGAAGTAATGAATCTACCGTTCGAATGGTGATCCCTGCTGTCTCAACAGGAAAGATCCCTGTGTATGCAGAGAGCGCAGACGCCCAGGGTTACCCGCCGGAAGAGGGGGACAGGAAGGGGCAAAATTGTGCCTCTCCTCTTCGAATGCACATGATAAGAGAATACCTAGTGTCTATTCCTAGTGTAGAAGCCGAGGAAATAACTTGGCTCATTGGTTTTCATCTCCGTCCCGCAGGCCCCATGCTCTTGGACGTGACGAGCTGGGTCACTTTTTGTGACGGTTCATTAACGAAGACCAGAAAGTCTATTCTCAGGCGATATTTCCCTTTTGAATTTAATATCCCAGGGCTAATGCCAAATCTCACCTTGCGGACTGGTTTTCGAGTGAAAAGATTGGAAGCAAGTTGGGCCATGGGCCTCGAGTGATAGGAACCGCCTAGTTAGTCAACTCCCAGCCGGGATTCAAAGGGGAATTAGCATAGCTCAGTTTCCTGAAGAAGCCAGGATTTCTGGAAGCTGCGCGTTGCCTTCCATAACTACTGGTGGAGATCGGAATGAAGTAATCCTAACTAAGCCGAATGCCCTGCCTTCTTCTCATGGCCGAGTACATTGGAATTGCTCCTATTCAGGCATATTCCGCACAGCATATACCGCAATTTTCCGGGCAGTAAAAAGACACAGAAGCCACCACCGGCAGTGGCATCTTGCCTAGAGTGGCTAAAAGGATGCTCGGGCTTCCAGACTTAGAGGTGGAGAAAATTAGCTCGAGCACTTACGGATGGAAGCGCATCCTTGTAGCCCTGAACGGCGAATTTTCTGAGCCCCGGCAGCTCAAACTGCCACCCCAAACCACATTTGCGACTTTTCTGGAGCGGAGCTCTGCATTACACGAGTTAGGTAGGTTCAGGCAGTGCCACGTTGACACTATTACTGCCCCTTTGCCAAATGAACCGCGCCTGATTGTGTTGCTCGCAACAGCGAACACACCATCGGCGAAATTCAGGATAAATGCAACTAGACGGCTCGTGCGCATGCAGCGGAGCCTGCGAAGCGAGCGTTTTCGGACAATGGCGAGGAGATATTCGATATGGAACAAGTCCTGGATGACGACCTCGTGTACATTTCAACAGGCCCAGGATTCATCGTTGGGAATTACGGCAGTACTGGCGGAGGTAAGTGAAAGCGGGGCTGCAAAGTAGGAAGTTCACTACAAGCGCTGCCTGGCGCAAACGGAAGGCGTTAATTTTCCTTTGCTTTCAAAACCTACCACTTCTGCATAGCTGCGTTTCCATGCACGAGCTGCCACTGGCACGCCATTGTGTCTCTCACGCCCACGTGCAGACGCCATTCGGATGACTTTTCTGAATCTCAGCTGTTGGAGGGTATATTTTGAAAGAGGTTATAGGTAGCGGTGGATTTGGCAAGGTCTACAAAGGTATTCACCCAGAAACCGGTGAGTAGTGCAATCACTTATTTGAGGCCGTCTTGACAGTTACACAGAACGTTTTGATTGCCTAGAAAGGAAATTTGATGTTAGAGCTTCAGACTGCATTGCACCATAAGCCCCACCGGCAGGGCTACCCGCTGCGATTCAGAGCCATCTTCTCAGGAGCAGCAACAGCCCAACGACGCTGCCGCCGTGTCGGATGAATCGCCTTTTTGCAGGAGAGCTAGTCGCAGTAAAATTTATTAACAAGCAATCCTTTAAGGAAATTGATGATGCGGACAGAGTCTTCGTTGAAATCCAGGCGAGGCAGATTCAAAGCTCTGTTATCTGCACCCCTGCCTGCCTGCGTGCGAATCCCAGAATTCGAACTTTCCACAGATTCTGTACTGCCCATGAACCATGTGGGATAGCCCTGTGGACAGCAGGCCTGGTGAAGGATCCTCTTTGAATAATCTTCTGCTCAATGAGAATTCTTTTAAGGCTTAGTTTCTGCGGTGGTCGGTTGTCGGGCAGGCACTACGAGACCTGTCACACAAGCATGTAATTAAAATGTTGGACGTCGTGGCCCATCCTAAATTCGTGTGCTTTGTGATGGAGTTTGCGAGCCAAGGCGACTTGCGCGGCCTCCTACACTCTCAGGGCCGTTTGTCGGAAGACCGTGCGAAAGAATTGGAAATGGCAGTTCCTTGATAATAAAAGCTAATCAACTAGGCTCCATTGCCCTTTGCATAACGCATCCAATTTTAGTAAAGCGCTTTGTTCCGTGAGTGTCGTTAAGCTGGTGGTTTCGTCAAACGATGCAGGAGCAAGATCATTTTTCGAACAAGTGCTCAAGGGCGTGCACTACTGCCACTCCAAGAACATTGTCCACAGGCAAGCCCTGCACCGGACTAAACCCTACAGCTGCAGTATTACTTGAGGCGTAGTGAGGCCATTTAGGAGTAGTATATGAGTGGAAGGGATGTTTCGAAGCTGCTTTATCCAGCAACTCGCTGGCTCGTTGAGAGGCCGCGAAAAAAAGCGGTCGTGCATTAGGTGAGGCTGTGAACGAGCGCCTTTCCGTGCTCTCATTCCCTTGGCAACTCAGAGACTTAAAACTGGAAAACATTCTACTAGACGATTGCTGCCGGTGCAAAATTGCGGACTTTGGACTATCGCACTTCGTAGTCGGCAACACGGGTATGAAAACGGAAGCGGGGACACTGGCGTATTTGGCTCCTGAAGTTTGGAGTCAAACCTCCCAGTACTCAAGTCCATTCCAACTAGACGTTTGGGCTCTCGGTTAGTTTTGCATCCCAGACAAAGGAGCGATTAAGTCTTTAACCTTTTTGGCAAACTCTTAATGCTTATTGCTTCATCTAGATGGCTAAACTCACACGGCGTTAGCCCGCTGGGCAAAATGCCCAATGCTACCCCCTGAAACCTCCCTGTTATTTGCCCGCAGGCGTTATTCTTTATGCTCTGACTCAAGGGAAACTACCCTTTTCTCGGGCCGACAAAGCTGTAGTCGATCGGTTGCACAAAGTACGTTACACGCAGCCAAACTTGCTGGACACGGTGGTTGTGTACATTCGACAGTATACTGCGTATCACCGGCCTGGCTTTTCTAAGCCACTGCGTTGCTGCTTAGCAAAATTTGGCATTTGACGGCAATCCGACTGCGGAACTGAAGCGCCTTATCCTGGGAATGCTGCATCCAGATCCACGCAAAAGACTTAACCTTAGCGACGTTATGAATGCACCTTGGATAAAAGCAGGCAGGCCATGGCACCTAAAAGACTTGCCTGAGCAGCAACCGACAAAACCGCATAACACTGCTGTACAGACACATGGAGCGCAAGGTAAGTAGCCTCATACCGGTTCGTGGAGATGGTTCAGCCAAACAGATATGAACTACAGTTTATGCATACGTGTTAGCTTGGTTTGCACAAACATGGGCATCAACTTCCACACTTTGGTTTCTCGGATACAAGTACCTTGCATAGCTTGCAGAGGGAATGTGAAAGCAGAGGATGCATGCAAACACCCTCGCACGCTGCGTTCGACTTGTACTGTTCCGCATTACTAGAAAACGACGGGGAAGCCGATCCAGTTTCAGGTCAAGATGAAGCTACGTTGAACACCCAGAGGACAGACAAGACAGCAAAAAGGCATTTGCCAACTTCTGGAGTGGATGCCAATGACAAGAAAAGGGACCCAGGTGGCAGCAAGCCGACCACTCTGCAGAAGGTGCAGCCACGGCAACCCCGCTCGTGAGGACACAGGTGAAGGCAGATGTCCAAAGACAGTCGTTTCGGCCTTCACGACTGCCACCGAAGTAACGGGTGTGAGTGAATTCTCTGTTGCAGTCATTCCAGCCAAATGTCGTGACCACTGGCCGTGACCGCTCAAGCGTGTTACTTCAATGAGATGTCTTGAGGCCCCAAATAGAGGACGGCCTGCGGGCTGTCATACCCATTAATGAAACTGCTGTTTCCTGAGATAATTCCGAAGCACACTGAATCACCAGTAGAGATGCTTATAATGGCATCTACTGTCGTTCTGAGCCTGCAGGATGCCCGCAGCTAGTTTGGTAGCCTTCCAGCATGGTGACAGCCTTTCTGCATATCTTTGCAGTGGAAATAATGCAAGTGTAGGCCTAGTGTACGTACCTAAAGACCAGTTTGTATCGTACAGCACCAGACAAACGGGGAATATTACCAGGGGTGGACGGTGGGGGGCGCTCACACGCGCAAGTGTAGAGCTTTGGAAACTGCCCGGGTCCTATGCCCAACACGCAAATAGCGAGAATTATACTCTCTATTGCTAGCTACAACCAGCCAGGATTAATATTTTTGTCCGCAATCGATGTAAGAAAAGTTTCTAGGGAAGCTCATCTACTCCAAGATGCCTTGGGAGAGGCACGTATAACATGTCATATACGAAAACACTGATGGTACACTTGGATGCCATCGTCCTTAACAACGGAGTGCTTTACTGTGCTTATCGCTGTCACCGTGCTACCGATAACTGCTTTGTGCAGCATCGCACCATTATTGACACTTAGAAATACGACTTATGGTTATTCTAGTGGTTGTCAAGCTGACGCTCTACTTCAGACCTCAGGATACTGGGTTTCCCCTTATGTAACGCTGACGTTTGAGCATTCTCTTACGATTATACGACGCTGAGGAAATTTGCGGAAATGCACCACGACTCCCCTCAACGTCATGCATCAACAGACCACCTAATCTTGCCTCCTCTGACCAGGAAAAGCTCTGTAGCGGAGGAGCTTAAATTAATGAACCATGCAAAAGGCCAGCAGTTTTGCATTGCAAACTCAAGGCCGTCAAAAGACCAAAATTCCACCTTGGCAGAGCTGCAGTCATACAATTCTTAAGTGCCAGTCTACATAGAGCGGCCACGTAGATCCAGAAGTGGAAGGCGGACCTCAGTGGGCCGTCGTGCACTAAGGCTGTCTCAGGCGGGGTTTGTGAGACTCACCTGAGTACTCTCCTCTACATGCGAACCATTCAAGAAAATGAACCCTAATGCTCATGCTTCAAGTTTTAACCCTGTGGACCGCGTCTGCGCCATGTTAAGCATGACACAGTGTGGCACGGCATACAAACTATCGCATGCCACACAGCTTAAGGCAACACTCTCTCGCTTCTTTTCTCCACAAAGGAAACCATTCTCCAACTTTTAATACTGTACCCGGATTGAGGCCTGGCTTCATTGTTCCCAAATGATGCTCACAGTGGGATGATTCCGATCGCCAGCAGGGGCACCGTTGCATGGCTCTACTGCATGCCAAGCTGACCTACTTAGCACGCAAGGCAGGCGTTCATTACGTAGGGTATAACCGTGAGAAAGGATCACTATAAATAGTCGACTTGTACAGGACAATTTTGCGTATGCCGAACAAGGATAGAGGATGCGATTGACTCCTCTGTCTTGCATGTTATAATTACATGGCCCGCAGCGCTTCCCACAACTGCGCCGTGTATCTTCCTCCTCATTAGACCTTTCTGCAGGGGCCTAGAGGCTTTGCTGCAAGTTTTCGCAATTAGATTAAAAGCTTAGTGCAAGTATAGCATCTCTCCACACCACTGCCGCCACAGCGTGGAGATTAGCTTCCTTGTTTGCCGCGACCGGTCAATTTTTTTCTGCTCACAGCTTTCCAGTGACACATGTGTCTATGTAAATTATCCTATCCGTTATCGAGGGCATGATGAAAGGGAGTCCATTGAGTAGATGCTCTGTTCACTTGAGCAAGCGACACAACCTGGTCATTCGTATGTTCACACGCTTAGCTCCCGACACATGCTGTGTGCCTCTGGCTTTGTAGGGGGTTCAATACGGGACTTAGCTGCAAACATGCGATTGTGAAACGTTGCGGAACCGCTCTATGCGAGCCCGCAATATGCAACGTTGTCGATAATCCCCCAGTTTCTCGCGCACACCACTTCGTGTTCTCTCTTCATCTGTAGGGAACTCCGACAACAGCAAGAAATTTGCAGAAATCATGAGGGGCCCAGATAGATACGGGACACAGAAAATTCTTCTTTGGCCATCTAGCTGGGTAGTTTAAGTCGGTTACCCACTGTCTGCATTCCAATGTCCATGGGCGATACTTCGCTACTGCGCGTCCTCGTATAGCTGAACATTGGATGTGCCTGCCTAAATTCCCAAATACGTAGGCTGTAAACTAGTGGTTTAGGCATAATGCTCTCTTAATTCGGTGGAAATTGGCAACAAGGTCTCTCGGATGCCGGTTGACACACCCATTCTGTCCTGGCGCAAGAAGTTTCGGCGCCTAGGGACTGTTTCCTTCAAATGCTTGCCAGAAGAGTCTTTTTCTGTGTAGGCAGCACAATGTTTTGAGAGCAGAGTCCTAAGACGTTCGCATTTCATTGACCCCAAGGCCAGCACCCTGGTGGACCGTCTCCAGAGGAACAGTGACCCCCAATTTTGAAGAGAAAGGTGACCCCTACGAGAAAATTTGACGGCAACGAACTAACAGCCTGTGCATGGAGAAGCTTTAAACGCTTATGAATTTACTTTGCTAGGAGCATCATGCACTCGAAAGAGCACTCCTGGCGAACCCTCGTCCTCCACCAATGATGGGGCCGGTCCATACAGGTGTACTGGCTAGATGGTCTCCCAAGGAAGCTAGAGCTACAGGTACGTTTTTGTTTCTGTTCCCCTCCTGCCTTTTTCGTGACCTTCTGATATGCTTTTATACCTAGTTTCTTTCGTGCTTCACTGGTGCATCTCGTGCCACCCCTCAAGTTCAACAGTATGAGAACTATATGAAGTTCAAACGGTGTTGTTACTCTTAAATGCATTTTTCTTTCTTTGTCTTGCCTCACTACAAACTTTCTGTGCGAACTATCTTTTTCGTAGCTCCTTTTACGTTGGAGCAAGTTCCCGCCAGACAGGGAAATTTGCAAGTGCCTACCCTGCTAGTGGAGGCTTTCAGGCTCAGCTTAGCTGGTGCCAGAGGTTCGTCTAGGTTCTAGTGATACCCCTGGATAGAGTTACCCGTCCTGTCATGTGAAAAGTTGGTAGAGATGAGGGCCTCGGTGCTGTTGGCCCTGTCCCAAGCCGTTTTGGGAACGCTTGCAGCTTCACAGGCCGAAGCCGGCACAAGGAGTGCGAAACAGCATACCCACTTCGAGGGACCTAACGGTAACTCTTACGCAACTCGCACACGCACACACAAACACACACAAAAACGCACACAGCCACATCCCAAGAGAAGGCCCTCTTGTTGCACACCCAAGTAGAGCTCATGGGTGATGAAGACACCACATCTAGGAAAAGGAGCTGTAGGTTCACTAGAGATGCAAACTAGGCACTAGCCAGAGTGAAGTGAATATTGTCCTATTTTTCTGTAGTGATGGGATCAAACTGTGTTTGCAGATCTCACCAGCTCGCCAGTGGACGTGCAATCTCGAGCACTAGTGGTCGTCCCTGGAGAAGCCTTTGAGGTTACTGTACACTTTGATGAGAGCCTCCCAAAAGACCCACAGTGGCCCCCTGTATTGTTGGGACTTAGGTTTGAACCAGTCCTTGGGAACAATGAGCGGAAACAGCTGGCAGGCTCTTCTGACTTGTTGTGGAAGCCGTTGAAAGGGGACAAGGCCAGGTGGTCGGTGAAGCTTCCTGAGACAGGAAACTACCGGGCAACTGTCTTTGCCCAAATCCCTTGCAGCGTTCACGATGGGACTTCTAAGGCGCCAGAGCTTTCAAATTGCTTTCAGCGAATGCTTCTTAAGCAGAAGTCTGAGTTCCGAATTAGGGTGTCCCAGATTGCTGCCAAATTGGCCATTTCGTGGGACCAGCCACAGACGATAGAAGGCCTGTCCGTCCTGGAAAATACACCTCGCGGACCGCTGCAAGTCTCTGCTTTGGCGCTTGACGGTTCTGTTGTTCTCCATACCTTCGCGGGTATCGTACAGCTTGCTGCGGTTGCGATCGATAGCGACGGCAATTTTTCGCTACCACTAATTGGAGGCCAGACGGCTGCTCCTCTAGTTAATGGAGTAGCTTCATTCCCCAAGCTCCAGTTCCTTCAGCCGGGAACGTACAAGCTGATTGCTACCGCTGATGGTGCACAAGCTGCAGAAAGCGCTCCCTTAATAATTACCCCCCCAGCTTCTCGGATTCTTAGGTGTGTTATCTAAATAAGTTTTCCGAGCTACTTGCAGGCAATGTGCATGCAGTAGAGCACTACACTGTACGTTAGCTGGACTCAAAAAAGGAAGGGTGGTGCATTTTGGACTTACGTGTCCCATCCACTCGGAGCAAAGACATCTGGAGAATGTCTTTGATGATGCAGGTTCTGCGAACAGCCTCCAGCGGTGGTACTCGTTCCTCTTTTGTCTCCTATAAGAGTGGCGATAGAAGTACTGCTGGCTAGCGGTGGAAGGGATACCAGCTTTGCAGGCCAGATACAGCTTCAACTGGACAATGGTGCTAAAGACGATGAGATACCGCAAGAAGTCCACAAAACGAATTGCCGTCTTGGCCTTTGCCTATGGGATAACCTTCTCCTTAGAGGCCGTCCGGGAAAGCATAAACTGACGGCTACTGTGGTTGAGCGTACCGCAAGTTTGGAAGGTTTGCACAGGCTCGCTGTTCCTGCAACATCTGCCCCAATCATGTTTAAAAAGGTGGCCTTAGCCGAAACTTCAGCTAGACTCACGACATATGACACTCCGAGGCAAATAGGACCAGATGTCCGTGCTTCGCTCAGGTACGGCTCTAGAGCGAGTTGTGTGAATTGTTATGGTTCATCTGCCGGTGTTTGGGTACTTAGACATGGGTAGAGCTACTGGTGAGGGCTTTACCCATGGGTTCAAAAGTGGTAGATTGCAGTTGAGTTTTTAGTAGGACTTTAAATATGTTCGTGTATGTGGGTGGGCGTTTCAGATTCGTCCACGCTGCCCCTTCTGCTGTCAGAGTGGGGCAGCCGTGGAATCTCGAGGTGGCTGTTGAGCCTGTTACTTCGACTATCGCAGAGAAAGTTTTGTCAAGGGAACGCTCGCTACGGAAGCGAGCAGCATCTGCGACACCGTCCGCTCCTGGTGGCTGGAGCAGCTGGACTCAAAGCATCAACTTTTACGGCATGCTTCACAGACGGCAGCGTCGCAGTCGCCTTGGCTCTCAGGGGCAAAGGACGAAAATTCCGAACAACACGATTGCCGGTCATACTCTTCGCATCTCCGTTGCGCAAGCTTGGCCGGATAATTTGATTTTCCTCTCCGGCCAAATAGAGAGCACAACGAATGAGCAGGGGCGAGGGCTACTGAGTGGTTTAACAGTCTGGCTTCAGGAGCAAAGAGTCGGTACTGCTCTCCAGGCACCCTGGGTGAAATTTCATGTTGAATGCGTGACTTGCGGCTTAGAGAATGGGCACCCCCCCCTATTATTGGAGACGCCTCGGATCGTCCTCGATACTTCATCAGCTGTTGGCGTGTTCAAAGACGTTACCAGAGCTACAGCCGCCCTTGCAAGGTGGCGCTCAGCGAAGGGAATTCTGGAGGAGACGCATGACAACAGTGCCGCCCTTGTCCTTCCAGGCCATCCGGCGCAAATGTGCGTACAGCTACTAGACAGACCTTTCGCTGATGTGCTAATAAAAGCACAGCATGGGCAAGGGCTTACTCTCCTGGGTGATGCCAGCATCCGCATCTCTCCTTACGTTTGGCCTATGCCTGCCTGCTGGCAGTTTGCAGCAGCAACGGCACGTCAACTATACCTGCACGAAGCTGAGCAAACAGTGTCGTTCCAGCTCCTCAGCGCTGACAGCACGTTCACCAGCAAGGCTGGAGTACGCTGGCAGGGTATGGCCGCTCCTGATGGATCTGTCAGAGTCATTGTACTGTCATCTCGATCCCTGCTTGGTCCAAGCGGGCTTCGCTACATGTTGCAAAACCCGAGATCGAGTCATTTTGCGAAGCTAAGCTCCCAGCAAATCGGGAAGCCGAAGTGGATAGACGTGCGCTCGGGTCCACTGACGGAACGCTCCCGGATTTTGGTGTCCCCGAAATCGGCGGCAGCTGAAGGGGACACGCAACCGCCTGTTGCTCCAATGCAGTGGATTAACGAGGAGGTAGACGCCTTTCTTCAATGGAAGGCCGTAGGTTTAGTGGTTGACCTCTTGGCGCCCCAGACCAAGGTTGTGCTGGAGCTGAAAGTCGTCGCGCCTTTTGTGTCTAGCGTGAATGTGACAGGCCAGTGTGTGGATACAGACGCGGGACACGTCCGCTTAGCCACAATTAATAATTCGTTTTTTATTCAAAGCTCTGACGAACAGCCAGGACCGCAGGTGAAGAAAACACATCAGTCCGAAAGGTGGCAAGAGCTGTTGGTATTACTAGACTGGGGCCAGCTAAGTTCAGCTAGCGCAGGACTACTTCATCATCACGTGGTTTGCGAATTCCGTGCTATGGCAAATCAGAAGCAGCAACTACAGTTTCTCCCTAAAGCTTCAGTGGATATAATCGTTGGTGAGTGTTGGTCCTTCAAACAGTGGTAGGGTTTTTACTGTAAAAGTTATTCCGGTGGTTCCCGCATATGCTGCCTTCTAGACTGTTCCACCTACCCAGAGAGGAAGGGACGACAGCGAGCTTTTGCATACAGCCCTGCAAGCGATGTTGCCTCTCTGCAGTACGGAAGCAATGCAAAGAAGGCGAGGTCTTCACGCTTCAGCGAAACGCCTGCGAGCCTTGTCCCGTGGATTTCGAATGTTCGCTTGCCACGGTGAAGCCGTGTACGGCCGGGGAAGTCAGCCCGCTAGGAAGCCTCACTTGCCAGATCTCGAGCATGTAAGCAGTTCATCGTTTTGTTAATTTAGATAGCCAGCCAGTTTCTCAAATTGGCTAGTACTGACTGTGAATTGCATGGGGTGGAGGAGGAGAAAGCTACTTTGATGCCGCTGCTCGCTAACACTCTGTAGGGTATGTGTACCCCATGTTCCCTCGTACATTCACTATCACTCGATGATGTGGAATGCATGAGAAGCTAAATCATTGCTTTCGTCGATCTACCTTGCATTTGCTACTGCAGTCACAGAGAATCAGAAGGCCTTGTCACTTCAGGGCGCGAAACCGCAAACTGCCCGATGGGCATGTACCTCTCAGACAGAAATGAGGGCCCTCCAGAGTGCAGCGTATGCCCTGCCGGTTTCTATTGCCAATCCGGAAAGAAAACCCCTTGTAACCTAGGCACGTACTCGCCCGCTAACAGCGCAAGTTGCTATCTGTGTCCTGAGGATGCGGTTTGCACTGACCCCGCAAAAGCACCAGAGAGATGCCCTTTCGGATGGCAACGAAAGGGGGAAGAGGTAGCATGCACTCCCTGTCCCGCTGGAAAAATGTGTGGCGGCTGGAGCGGAAGTGTAATGAGAGGTTTATCTGAGGTGGCCTGCCCCTTGGGGACGTATACTAAACCGGAGTACCCGGGGATCTGCGTCCCTTGCCCACCTGGGTTTCAGTGTCCGGATCCGCAACTAGTACCAGAGCCCTGCCCTCCTGGGACAAACTCTCTAGGGGGCAGGCGTAAATGCTCCTCGGCTCCTGCTGGTTTAATCGTTGAACCCGGAAAGCAGCATCTACCTGCCAGACCTTGCGAGGACGGGTTGAGACCTCTCGAGTTAGCGGGCCAGTGGTGGTGTGGCGTTGGATACGACGACTTGAACCTCGCTCTTGAATCGAGCGGGCCACCGATGCGCTCTTCTCCCGCTGACAATCTTGTAGCAGCAAGATCGGAGTCCTTCCCAGATGTGTGTGGGCTAGAGCACATGGACCACATCACGTGTTTCTCGTCGAGTTTGCCGCCTACAACCTGGTGTCCAACCTACCCCGTCAGTCCGATATCGTGGCCTAGTGCCTTTAGAAAAGCTCCTTTCTTTGCCCAAGGCGGAGCGTTCTCGCAGTATTTCACCTCCTGCGGTTATTTACGATCGCTTGACGAATCTTCAACCCGTGTACGCATTGTACCTGATATCCACACCAACTGGAAATTGAGCGCAGTACTACAGCAAACCAGAAGAACATGATTTGCAGTGGAAGTTATACGTGCCTGCTCGCGGCATTCTCTCCTTCCTTTCGCTTGTTTTACACAGATTGAATGTCGGGAGAAAACATTGTTCCACCCGGGCATAGGATCTGTGCTGTCAAGTGAATATGCTTGTCAGATTGGCTAGTACGCCGTGTCACACTGCCACACAGCACGCACGGAGCGCCGCAGCTACCACGAACTTAGCGAACGATTAATATACCAAATAATACCATCTAATATACTAGCGACAACGGTTGTATGAGGGTGCCTTACTTTCTGAGATAATGTGCATGTTATGCAGTGTCTGCGGCCCTGAAGAGTGGCGTCCTATTAAGCCCGGCTATTTCCAACTTTCTTGGCGTGGAGGCGTCACAGCGTTGCGCGACGAACTTCCGACCCCAAGGGAGTATAAGTGTTGGAAAGGTTACAAGTGTGAAGGCAAACACCACTGGCCTTGGCCTTGCCCACCCGGGACCTATGCCAACGACTCTGGAACAGATTGCATCAAGTGCCCTGCAGGCTGGCCATGCCCCATGTCTCGCACCACCAAAGCCCAGCTGGTCGTACCATGCTGGCCTGGCCACTATTGTCCTGAAGGCTCCGCCAGTCCGACAGCTATGCCGTGCCCAGCAGGGACGGTCAACCACAGCGTCGGTGGAAAAGATAAGTCAGCATGCAAGCCATGTCCTGCTGGATATCTGTGTGCCGAAAGATCCTTTCAGAGTGTAGGCTTGCAGGCCTGCCCCACAGGCCATTACTGTCCTGAAGGGTCGGAAAAGGGCATTCCTTGCCCAGCTGGAACCCACACACCATACCCGGGAGCTTCCGACAAAATGACGTCCGTTGACGACTGTGTAAAGTGTGTTGCCGGCTATTACTGCAAGCAGGGCAATAGCCTTTTTGACATGCTCTCCCAGCCATGCGCCCCAGGTATTTGCACACGGGTTGAAATTTGCATAAATGAGAGGGATATGAGATGACTAGAATGCATAGGTTCGTTCGATACTCAGTTGTTTGCTTTTCCGCGTGCACTCGTGTATGGTCGGCTAGCCCAATCCATTCTTGCGTTATCACAGGCCGCGTATGCCCTGCTGGGACAGACTCAGACAGAGGACCAAAATGTCTTCCTGGCTTCTACAGCAATGTTACCGGCTTGACAGATGTGTCGGAGTGCCTACCTTGTGAGGCTACGCTATGGGGGATGAATTTCGCGCGATTTATCGTCGGAGAGGACCAAGGGATCTTTCGTTGTTTGATAGCTTTCAATTCCAAAGTATGTGTCCCCGATTGTCCGTAGGCCCAGCTGGACACTACTGCGACTACGGAGATGAAGCCAACGCTCCAAACGCTGTCACCGGGAAGTGCCCTGAAGGGTTAATGTCTCTAAATACCGGGCAGTTCGGTGCTGCGCATGCATTACGTCCTATTGCGGCTCAAGCTGGTAAGGGGTGCCATCAGGAGTCGTATTGGCGGTTTTGCCCATAGGGTGCACAATGTAGGACAAAGAGAAGATGCGGAAAATTGTGCCCTCCCACACAGCAGTGCTTTAGATGCTTTTTGCTGCGAGCTCATGGGAGGCATAAGCCAACTCTACCAGCAGGCGTTTCAGCATTTTGAATGCTGTGCATGTACTATTCGTGAAACTCCGGAACATATTTTTGGCGCTGCTGCACTCTTGGCCTTGGGGGGCCACGCGTTCATCCAACTAAAATTAGCAGACTGGTGGTGTTGCTCTGGGTGTTTTCAGGTGTAAGCGCACAGTGTGTCGCCTGTGACGCCGGTTTTCAGTGCAACGACGGTCAACGGGTAGTTTGCGGCAGAGGATTCTACTCGGATAAGGGCGATGGTAGCGGAGCATGTAAAGAGTGCGTAGCGGGCCACTATTGCTCCGAGGAAGGGACTTCAAGGGAACAAATGGAAAAGCAAAAGTGTCCCGCAGGAGCGTACTGCAAGTCCGGGGTCAATACTGTTCCCGTTCCCGCAAGCCATCCCTGCCCGGCAGGGAGCTACTGCCCCGAGGTTAGGCCAAGCCTTGAATTCCTGTAAAGTTACCTCTTCAGTGAAACGTATGCAATACGGTGTTTACGAAGGCCCAAATATTTCCTAGACACTTGCTGCCAATTAAGTGATTGGATCTTTTGAACTTTGCGCCTCACGTACACAGGGGGCACCAACTGCAATCAAGTGCCAAGCGGGGACCGTCAATCCAAAGCCTGGCCAGGTCAGCGCGAACCCGTAGGCAGTCTGACTCCTTGTAGGGGCAGCTTAGGTTAGTTACAAGTAACAGGTACAGTGGTTTCGTGAAATGCATCCGGCATTGCGCCGTTTACTATGAATGCACCATAGAGTGATCTGTGTCTCTCTGTCAGGGAGATCCATCCGCCTGTGTACCAGTACCTGCCGGGCAGTATGCTTCGCAAGCCGGGCTCGCTCATGCTGAGGGGCCCTGTGAAGCGGGGTATTACTGTCCGGAAGGCTCAACGTCGGGCACAATGTATCGTTGCCCTGCTGGAACATACGGGCAAGTTTCTTGCACGTGGCATGCCTCGCCTTTCGCTATCTTCAGTGCCGGCTAACTTCAACGCATTAGGACAAACACGGTGGCCTGCTTCACTGTGGAAGAGAATTGCTTTATCCGTTGTAAAACGGTTTGTCAAGGCATTTTGCCATTTGCATCCAGAGATGCCAGTCATTATGGTCTTCCGCAGATATCAGAAAGGGGCTAGGAGTCAAGAGGAGTGTGACCAGTGCCCTCAGGGTATGTCTTGCGGGACCTGTAAAGCGCAGCCATCAAAAGCGCTTGAAACGACTCACACAGATGGCTGTGCAAGCTCTTGAAGCACTATTAAAGTAGGCAGCCGAATTTTTGCTTCAGGTTACTTTTGCCCGGAAAACAAAGGTCCAGAGAAGTGCCCCAAAGGCCACTACTGCGAGCTAGGTTCTACTGAAGCAAAACAATGCCCCGCGGGCACATTTAGTAACACAACTGGGAACGCCTCTGCTTACGACTGCACGGACTGCCCCCCTGGGAAGTACTGTGCAACTGAAGGTGCGTCTCCGGCTTCTCCACCGTAGCCCCATGCTGCAGTAACGCATGAGAAGGGATCTACACGAACTCAGATTTGCTTGAGGGCGTCAATAGTGAGAACGTAAAACGGGCCAGCTACCACCAAAAGTACACAGGTATGGGTGTTACTCTGCAGGTCTTTCAAGTCCAACAGGTCCTTGTAAGGAAGGGTGGGTTACTAGCGGAACTTTGCGCAAGCATGCCGAATTGAAGCACCTCATGCCTGCTGACAAACATGGTTGAGCGGCTGCCTAACACTGATAACTAGAAAACATTCAATTTCCTGAGTACAGCCGCTGCCCAGACATTTGAAGCCCGCTGACATTTTTCACTAGCGTGAGATTTCCGTGGCAAATTTAGGTACTTGTGCTACAAGAGAGCTACGTCAGCAACGCCAACAGATGGGGAAACGGGAGAGCTCTGCACGCCTGGAGGCTACTGCAAAGCGGTCGGTTCCCTTTTGCCCCCCGCTTAGGCTTATCCTTACTGTCACATGTAAACTCTATATTATCTTGAAGCATTCCTCGGTTTCTTTGTGCATCACTTTGCAGGGGGCTACCACAAAGTCCTATTGTCCTCGAGGGACATACAATCCAGATAAAGGAGGGTCGTCCGCAAGTGACTGCAAAGATTGTCCGCCTGGCTACTTCTGCACCGGCAGCGATTCTACGGAGCCCGATGGGCCATGCGAAGCAGGAGCATATTGCACAGGAAGGGCCGAGACCTCTAGGTGAGCGACGTTTGTTGCACTAGAGTTCATCATTTGGTGGCCGCAACGGCTTCGTTAGCACGGAAAGCGGGTTGTTGACTTCATCCCGAGAATGCCTAAGCTACTCTGCATCCCAGCAGCCAGTTTCGTAGAGGGAGCTTGCTCGGCATATTCCCACACGCGGTGGCTTCCCAAGACGTTTAACCTCTCGGTAGCACTTTGTTGCGCTACATACTATTAAAACTGTCTGTCCCTTGCGTTCTGTCTCAACAGGCAAGTGGTATCCAGAAAAGGGTACTATGCTCCAGCAGGCTCTTCGAAAGAGACGATGTGCCCACCTGGAAGTTTTGGTCCGCATGAGGGACTGGCTGAATGTTATCTTTGTGCCAGTGGGTACGTTGCAACAGGCTCTCCAAAACTAGCTTGAGCATGCTTCACGTGGTATACGCCCATCGAATCTGGCGAGCGGAGGCCCCGCCACTACAACTGTCCGTATTTTTTTAGCCACACAGAATGACACTTCATTTGCGGGCCACCTGCACTCTTCTGTTTGTCCTTCCTTCCAGATGGGTAACAGTATCACCAGGCCAAGAAGAGTGTAAGCCGTGTTTCCTGGGGATGTACTGCCCTGACGAAGGGACCTCTTCGCCACAACTGTGTCCTGTCGGAACATACAGGGATACTGGATATGGCTCCTCAGCCAACAGTTGCCACCAGTGTCCCCCTCACAAAGCCTGCCCGGCAACGGCTGCAGACGGAAAAGCCATGCTGGATTGCGAAGGTGGATATTATTGCATTTTTGGTTCCTCTTCCTCCACACCATCAAAGGATGATCCGCATTTTGATATTAGAAAGGCCGGGCCCTGCCTCCCGGGAATGTATTGCCCCAAGGGGCAAATTCCGTCGCCATGCCCGAGAGGAACGCTAGGCCTCGCTGAAATGCAGGATGGCATTTCAGATTGCGGCGAATGCCCTGCAGGTATGCTCTTTGAGCCGCGAGCGGCGGACGCACTTCGAAGGCAAGGCCTGCGTTATCGTCGTTGCTGCACACCGTCTTGCTTCGGCATTTTTAAAACGGTTTGTTCCATTACGAATTGGTGCTAGAGTGAACACGAGGGAAAAAGGTTGAGTGGCTTCGACTGCGCCGGTCCCTGCAGGAAACGTGTGCGAAGCTTTAGGGGGATTGGATAGTTCACCCTGCCCTGAGGGCTTTTTCTGCCCGCAAGGGACAGCTACAGCTGAGCGTAAAACAAATTTATGTCCCACGGGCAAATTCTGTCCACCGGCTAGTATTGCTGGGGAAGACTGCCCAGCGGGAACATTTGCACCATTTCAAGGGATGGCCGAATGCCTTAAATGCCCTGCTGGCTGCTTCTGTGATGCCGGCGTCTCACTTAATCAGCAACAGTGTCCAAAAGGACACTTTTGCCCAGAAGGTAGGCATTCACAAGAGATTGTCTGAAACATCCTCAGCAAGCTGTGCCCTGACAACTATGACTACCTAAAGTTTATACTTTGCGTTGCTTTCATCAGCGGCGAGTGAGGGGACGCCCTGCCCCCCCGGAAGCATGGGTCTAACAGAGAATCTTTCCAACGAATCCCTTTGCCTAAAGTGTTCGCCTGGCCACTACTGCCCGAATGAAGCGACGTAGGTCACGCCTGGCTTCGCCGAAATTCTGCACGTTTTAGAGCTTGAAGCGGCACACTGATCATGGCAGGCTTTCCGTAGGTGTGTCTGCCTTCAGAGCCCAAGAATCGAATATTCAGTCTTGCCCTGAAGGCAAATATTCAGGCCCTGGATCAAAGACAGATGCTGAATGCAAGGATTGCCCTGTTGGGTACTACTGCCCACAGTCATCAAGCATCCCGCTTCCTTGCCAAGGAGGAACTCTGTGCACCAAAAGCGGCCAGAAGGAGCACACTGAGAAATGTCCAGCAGGCACGTACTGCGAGGCAGGAAGGGCTGAATACATTCAAGCAAATAAAGAACAATGCCCTGCAGGCTCTTACTGTCCAGAAATGTCTTCTGCCCCAATTTCTTGCCCCATGGGAACCTTCCTAGACACTCCCGGGGCCGTATCAGAATCAATGTGCGCGCAGTGCCCTGAAGGAAGGTAGGTTGATTTCTTCGGGGGAAAGGGGCCAAGGGCTTCCCTTTAGTACAATTCTGTCCGTGTTGTCAAGCCTGGTCTCGAAAAAATAGATTGAATGTCCAAAATGTGTTAAGCGCTGCTCACCGGCGGCAACTCTACGAATGTCGCTGATTTAGCTCACTCAGCATGCACCTCCCAGCTGGCACTAAGGCATGAACTTGTCTGCTCGTGCGTGGAATCAGCTACTGTGGGACCCCCGGTCTTGTTGGTCAAGAAGGAATCTGCAGCGCCGGGTACTATTGCCCAAAGGGTAGTTTTGTCTCCCAGCCAACGGCGTCCAGATGCCCTCCTGGATCAATGTGCCCACAAGGTTCATCTGAACCGAAGGCATGCGATGCCGCTATGAATGAATACCAGCCAAGGGGGGGACAAGCGTTGTGTGAAAGCTGCCCGGCAGGCTTTGCTTGCACATCCAAAACTGCTGCCCTTTGCCCGCAAGTGAGTTGCATATGCTCTAGGCGATCCAAAACGCTTTCAAGGACATACGTAATATGCACTTGGGGGGCACTGTTTTTTCATGTAAATATGAAACTTGTATTATGATCTGCTGTGCCTTGCGAGCGCCGCAGGGACAGTATTGCACTCCAGGCATGGAAGCTCGAAAGTGCAGCGCAGGTACCTTCAATCCTCTAACGGGATCACAGAGTGTAACGTCTTGTCTTGCCTGTCTTCCTGGATGGGCATGCACTGAACAAGGCCTCGCTGCGCCAAACAAGCAATGCGCAGAAGGCCACTTCTGCATTTCTGGAGCTTCAAGCGAAGAGCCGGCAAATGAATGGAGTGAAGGTGGTGGAATTTGCAAAAAGGGCTTCTTTTGCCCAAAAGGCTCTATATCTGCTAGACCCTGCTCAAGCGGCAAGTACTGCTCTCAAGAGAAAGCAAAAGCTCCGACGGGCAACTGCTCTGCAGGGCACTACTGTGCGCATGGGGCAACAGATCAGCGCTCGTCTCTAACTTTCTACCCCAATGACTGTCCCTCAAGCGTGATACAGGGTATTTGCCCTCCGGGGTCAGTTTGCCCGGAAGGATCAGCTTTTCCTTACAAGTGTCCAGCAGGTGAGTCTCGCCCCGCCTCCAGCTGAAGGGTCTATGGATCTACACGTGTTCTGTGGGAATGAACTGTACGTTGTGAACGTCCCCCGTTTGAACCTTAGCAACGGAAATATCGATATAGTTTCGGGCCCATCAAATAGTGTGTGGTCATGAATTTAGGCACCATACGAAAGGACCCAAATGGTACCGCCTTTGACCAGTGCGAGCCCTGCCCTGAAGGAGGATACTGTGCCCTCCTTGGGGCAACAGAAGTGACGCAAAATACATGTCTTGATGGTCGGCACTGCAAAGAAGGCTCACGAGTAGGCTATTGGAGACGCGTATTGTTCAGCGGCGCCTTACCCGAAAAGCCAAACAGGGTTTGTTCAGGCCTTGCACTGCGCAGTTGCTCTGGACAATGTTTCTTCCTACGTTCTTGTGACAGACGAAATTTGGTGTTCCATGCCCGAAGGGCCACTACTGCAACAGCAAAGAAACATCCCCCCAGAAGTGTCTCGCAGGGTAATTAAGCCCAACCCTGCACTCCACAAAAATTCTTCCTGGGGTGTATGCCACTGTAGAAACATTCGCCAGCTTTATTGTGCTAGTAGTCATGCCAGAATAACCCGGTATATAACATGAAAGCCAAGAGATGGGTGGTTGTAGATACGTCGAAAAACGCATCGCTCAGATTGCAATGCTCCTGTGCAAAACATTCTTAGGAGCTATCAGTCTTCAGTGGGAGCTTTGGCGTGCGAAGCGTGTCCTCCAGGTACGTAGCGTAAACGTTCTCAACAGATGGCCTTTGACGGCGTTTTCTGTGTACGACATAAGCATGCGCCGCTGCTGTTCATGCCCATCTTTGGCCATCAGGTTCTACCTGCATGGCTGAGGCCACAATCCAACCTCAGGCATGCCGGGCAGGACATTTTTGTTCGGAAGGATCAGAGCAGCCCTGTCCAGCTGGGCACTTCCTTGATAAAACCGGCGCTTCAGCAGTCACTGCATGCAGACCATGGTAATGTGGCCCCATCCAAACAGCAGGCTTTTCGCATTCGCAAATCGTGCGCCTGCTGATGAAAATCCTTTCGGATTCTTGGCTGCTTGCGAAGTTGTTCTGCATGCTCAGTCTCCCAGGGAAGGCATGTCCGAACAAGGGCGCCATTTCGGACACTGATGCTACGGCCTGTCAAGCTGGCTACTACTGCCGGCTGGGGGCGTCCTCAGTAACGCCGACAGAATCTTCGTGCGTAGATGACGAGAAAACTGCATGCCTTCCAGGGGCAAAGTGTCCTAAGGGGTACTACTGCCCTGCTGGATCAAGCACGCCACTAGGATGTCCTTTGGGGACAACAGGGAACACGGAGGGAGCCACAGACGTATCGGCCTGTACACAATGTCCACCCCATTCCTTTTGCCCTCCTGGTGGTGGACAGTGGCCCTGCGACCCTGGATTCGTATGCAGTGGAGGGGCCTCTGTCCCAAGGCCTACGGACAACACTGGAAAAATATGCTCAAAGGGCCACTTCTGCAGGGGCGATTCCGCGGAATCCCCTTGCCCCAAAGGAACCTACGCCGATGTCCAGGCAGGTTATTATTGGTGTGCCACAATCAAGTATTCAAAGTGGCAGCTTCTATCCTTTGGCTGCCCTTTTATTGTCAAAACGTGTCAACAGCAATGGAAGGCTTGCTAGATTCTGTTTCTGCTGCACAGGGACTCTCAGAATGCAAACGTTGTCCAGCGGGATACCTCTGCAGCTCACCAGGTGTGCAATGCTTTCCAATTTCCAGACTTCTCAGAGCCAGAGCCATTCTAGGCATCTTCTAGGTGACAAATACTTCGTGGTTTCCGATTTCTAGCTGTTGCTTGCTACCACGTAGATGGTCCTGTTCTCCACAAATTTTCTGCATGGGCTTGCTGCTGTTTGCAGGGGATACGAGTGGCGTAGGTACGCCATGTCCCGCAGGGCACATTTGTCCCGAAGGATCGTACGAAGCCACAGAGTGCCCTGCTGGCACGTTTAACCGTGTTCAAGGCTTACAGGGAAAATATCAGTGTTCCCTGTGTCCCCCAGGTCAGTGGTAAATCATTTTCAAGGGAGTAAGACAGCAGCGATGTAGAGAGATGTACGCGAGCCACTGCAGTGCAAAGCACAAATTGCCCACGTATATTCGGGAGGCCCTATCAAATGGCCAAGCATTTTGGCTTGATTTTATTATGGGAATTACTCACTTCGTCACAGGTAAATTTTGTGAAGGAGAAGGCCTAACTCAGCCTTCAGGTGAATGCGCGGCTGGTTTCTACTGCCAAGCCGGCTCAACAACGCCACGGCAGGAAGCAGAAAACTGGCCCGAAGGCAGTGGCAAATGCCCGCCGGGACACTACTGCCCCCAAGGAAAGGTATGCCCATTGAAGCTTCCTAATTTCTGTAGTTTCTTCCCGACGCGAATGAGGCCTTGTCTATGGTGTCTTAGTCCAACCTACGACAGCCCTAGAAGCACACTCATCGCAGAGAATACTTGCATCTGTTGTATTCGCAGGGGGCACCCGAAAGGTGCCCGCCAGGAACATATAATCCGGCATGGGGGGCTGAAAGTGATGATCAGTGCTTGCCTTGCACAGAAGGAAAGTACTGCGATAAGTGGGGTCTCAGTGCACCCGAAGGGCCTTGCAGCCCAGGTAAGATGAAGTATATTGTGCATTGATGGATCGTTGTTAGTATGCGCTTCGCAGGAGCTATGTAGAAGTACCGCGTGGAGCGCATAAGCTACAGGCAGATCATCTCAATCAGCCTCCCGTGTGGATTCCCTCACAGCGCTTATTGAGCTCCAGGTCCGCCTCGCCGCTTACATAGCTGTGGTCGTGTCGTGGTCTAATTGCATGTGGCCTCACTGCAGGTTTCTACTGCAAAAAAGGTTCCTCTACGCCGACGCCAGTTCAGGAAGCCGCGGGGGACCTCTGCCCGGAAGGCCATTACTGTCCACGAGGTAGTGCACTTGATCAGTGATGCGTAACAGGTGTAACCATACAAATGCATTGGATGCGGTTTAGTGCTTTATTTCACTTATGGATCTCCGAACGGCTAGCAGAGAGAAAATTATTGGTGTAGTGAAGAGACAGAAGCTTAACGTGGCGTCGTGCTCAAGCTGCACTGCTTACGTAATAGGGTCCTCGGAGCCCACGCCGTGTCCCTTCAGTACATTTAGCGTTCACCAAGGTGCGTTAATACCCCTTAAAGCGAGACCTCTCCTTCCGTTGGACTAATAGGCGCATACAGTCCATACATGCAGTTGTGATGTTAATGGCGATTTCAGGCTCCAGCGAATGCTCACCATGCCCAGCTGGATACACTTGCGACGTCGGAGCCGTGCAGCCGACAGCGTGTCCAGCCAGACACTATTGTGAGCTCGGGCACCAACCAAAGCCTTGTCCAGGGGGAACGAAATCGACCTCCACGGGCCTTTCCGAGGAAGGCCAGGTAAGCAAGCATTGCAGGCCCGCGTGTAAGGCTCTCACATTAGATCGGCCGTTTCTAGCGGCGGGCGCACCTAAGCGGTGTTTTCTTGGGAGCATCCGGTACTGAACGCGATGCGCACGAATTGCATTTAGGGCAAGCCGAGGTGCATTGCATGCCTGTACTGTTGCAGTGTATTGACTGTGGCTCGGGGCAAGCTTGTGATGGGACGCGTGCTGTGGGCCCGTGTGCGGAGGGATATTTGTGTCTTGCTGGCGTTGGGCCTAATACATCTCCTGAACTCTGGCAAAATATGTATTCGGCAGCTGCCGTACAAATTGGCGGCCCTTGTCCCATAGGGCACTTTTGTCCAGAGGGAGCGTCTGTCCCGACTGCCTGTCAAAGAGGCACATCCACAGTGAAGGAAGGCGGAAAGACCGCGCAGGACTGCTTGCCTTGCAGAGCTGGATGGTACTGCAGCCTGAATTCATCAGTAAGTCTCCTGCGGAGTACCAAAAAAATGGTTCTGGCTCTTTGCTGATTGTAATATCTAGCATTGTGCTGCTTTCCCGCTAAGCGCTGACCCTACCGGGTTAGCAGATAAGGCAGTCAAACCCTGCACCACGCCCACACCAAGAGCAAAGGAGTGGCACGATGGGGTGCTTTTGCGCAACGCTGCAGGAAGTGTTTGAGTGTCCGGCTGGGCATTATTGTCCTGACGGGAGCATTGAGCCAATACAATGTCCATCGGGCACGTATAGCTTGATTTCCTTGGCTACATCTGCTGACAGCTGCGAGAAATGCCCAGCCGGCTACGTCTGCAGCGCGGGAACAGTAGACTTTTCTCAGTGGCCTTGCCCCATTGGATACTACTGCCCAGAGGGCTCAGCCACTGCACTGCCATGTGCGGCTGGCACATATGGCTCTACAAGCCAAGCTACATCTGCCGACGACTGTCAGGACTGCCCTAAGGGCAAGTCTCTCATATGCAACACAACGAATGTTGGAGGGTCAGATTTGTTTTGCCTGCCCTTTATATTGAGCCATGAATCAGAGTCCACACTTTCCTTGGATATTATGGGGCGTTGATGTTCAGGATACTTCTGTGAAGGGGCCGCCGCCCGTCCTTCACCATGCCCTGCTGGGCGGCTCTGCGAGGAGGGTTCTCCAACGCAGTTACTGTGTCCTGCTGGCAACTATTGCCCTGCTGCTGCAGAACTTCCTTTGTCGTGTCCCAATGGGTACTACTGTCCTGAGGGATCCCCATATCCTACGGCATGCCCCGAAGAGGCAATTTGTCCTGAAGGTGTGAAGGAACCTTTGCTTTGTCCGGCAGGTGCATACAGGGCCGCTTCTGAGTCCTGCATAGAGTCTCCGTCAACTAACACATGCTGTAAAGCTTGTCCTGCGGTGAGCTACTGAGGCCGGACGAAAACAGAAGCCATGGTCGTGGCTGATTCACGCACCTATTCTTTTAGGATCAAATTAGGTATTCTCAGCTCCGGAAGGCCAGGCTGCTAGCCCACCTGAATCTCCGTTTTTCCTCTGCTTCTACTCCTTTGACTGCTGGCTTCAGGGAACTCATTCTCCCGCTCCTGGGGCTTCTTCATGCGATCCTTGCCCTGCTGGATATCTCTGTTACGGCGGAACTGCCACAAGTGCACCCCAACTCCCTGATATAGACTTTGGGGAGCCCTGTCCCACTGGTCACTACTGCCCAGCAGGCAGTTCTGTTCCACAGCCGTGCCCTCCGGGAACTTACAACGATGAGGAAGCGGGGGCTAACCTACTAGAAGCATGCAAGCCATGTGAACCTGACACATATTCAAACACACCTGGCCAAACCGGGTGTTTTGCATGTGGCTCAACGTCTACGGCTGAGGCAGGACAGAGCACTTGTTCGTGCGTGGGATTGCACCGGTGGTTTCAACCAAGCCAAGGTTCCTGCATTTGCCAGGGGGGGTATGAAAGCTATGATATGACGGGAGCTTCTTTGTCCAACCTTGATTCTTCTCTAGACTGTCAGCCGATAGTGAGAGAAAACTGCCAAGGGTCTCAGCTGGCGCAGCTCGTTTTTCCACCTACTAAATTGCGTGACAAAAATGGTTTTTGTGTGGACCCTTCGGCTTGCGAGGCCAAGTGCCCCGGCGGGAAAGGAGGCTTTTTGTCCTTGTCAGGACAATGTATCTGCCTGCCCATTAGAGCTTCCAACTCAATCTGTGATGAAGAATGCAGGTAGGATCTGGATCCTGCAGCTCTCTCATGGGTTGCCTTTGCATAGAGCGGCATGCTTTACAGGGGGGAGGAAACATGTTATTGTAATAGTCTTTTCCTGCCTCTTCTTCAGGCAAGAAGCCGTCCGCGCAAACTATCGAAATGGGACTTTAGAGTTCAGTACTGAGGCGGGTGGCTCCATTGGGCAGTTGTCGTTTGCTGACTTCTCGGCTAATGGGAGGGTTCTTGGAAAATTCGACTGCACAGAAGGCGTCAACACTGACTGTTCCGTTTATTTCTATAACGCAACAAAAGAGGGCATTTGGGGGCTTTTCAGTGTTCCGCAAAGTAGGCTAACAGGTTCTAGATAAGCAGAGGAAGTCCTGCTACATTTCGGAACTGGTTTATGGGCAAGAAGCCATTTATTTGGAGGTACATGTTGCTCTCTGCATGTGGATTTTCCTTGGCTTGCCTGCTTTGTATTATGTTTTTCTAGGCTTGCAAGAGGAAGCTAAGCGCCGTGAGGCTGCAACTGCCCGCACGTTTCCGAAAAGAGGTCTTAGGCGCCTGTCTGAAACCGAGCCTACTCAGGGAGTCAGATTCCCTGTCCAATGCTTGCAGCTGTACGATAGCGTTGCCTGGTGGGTGGGCGATCAAGTGTACCCCGTTTTCCTGAAGGACTCTCTTCTTAACACGAATGCCGCCATTGACATTTCGGCCTTCCTACAGTTAGCCTCCGCCCTTGGATCCAGCAGTGTTCCTAGAGGTTCCAAAGCTAAGAAAACTGTCACATCCAACTTGGAAGTAAGTGGCTGCTTTACCTAAGACAAATTCTGAACAGAGCCCCAGAGGTGGCTGGCACTGCCTCTGCCCAGCTGGCACAACAGAGGTGCCTATCGATGCCGATAGAGTCAAATGACCCCCACGTATCAAACTCAATGCCTTCAACGCACTGTTGGCCAATGTGCCTCTTTCCCTAGGATTGGGTGGCTACGAAGAAGGAACTGCATTCATTCGTCACTCCTCCTGTACAGTATTACGAAGGCCTATGACACAATGCTGTTCGCGTGCTGAACTTGCCAATGCTTTGCAGTACTTCGTCTATACGTTCAGTGTTGAAGGAGTCTTTGCATTCGGAACAAACGAAGATGATAGTCCGCAGGCGATTTTCTCCGTCGTCGGCGAAGGAGTGCAATGCCCAGCAGGAACGAGGTCCGTGAAAACGTTAAGCGTAGTGCAGACTCTTCCCAATGTGTATGCACAATATCTAAGCTTTGTTGCAGCGCAGTGGTTCCAGGTGTTGCGTCAGCGAGTAGATTTTATACGGGTGCTATTTTCGCCGTCATTACGTCTGCTGATTCCGTTAGCTTGACGTATCTTGTGGATCTTTGAACCAGATATCCCGACGCAGCAACTGATGCGTCTCTTGCACATCTTAGAGTGCATCTCCAACAAAACGTGAATGTGGAACCGGACCTGACAATATTCCTACTGACATTTGTCTGCCTACTAGTTGTTCTAGTTGTACTCTTAATGAGTATCTCGGAGGCACGACGACGGCAGTATAAGAAGCGGCAGGCGTTAGATCAGAAGGATCTTAACGAACGCAGAGATCTTATTCTCGGAAGCCGGCGGGCAGCCTTGGTGATGAAAAGAAGGCTAGAGTCACTTTTGGCGGATTTAATTGAGCAGAGACTCTGCAAGGAGGAAAACAGCAAAGTGCTTGCTTTGCAGCCTGAGCAACTCGAGAATTTGCTGAATAACATACCCCGTGGTACTCCTCACCCCCAGGCATTTGAAGATGCATTTGGAGCGCTGCATGAGCTCTCAATCAAGTTCAAGGCATTTTCTTCCACTTCCAGTCACCAATTCCACAGAGCGACGAAAGATGTCGCACTGGAAATTAGCGAGCTGCAAAAGGATATCCTCACGACTCTAGCACCCATCAGGCAAAGGTTGCAGGTACGCGATCACTATGGCTTGCCTGGCGATACGACAGATCCTCCCGAAATGGGCTTTTGCAGTCTGAGTTCCATGGTATTTGTGCTCTCTACGGTTTAGCGCATTTAAGCCTTTGCATCTCTTGCGCGCCTTTCTGATGTTTTCGTCTTGCTTTGCTCCAGCCACCTTGGCTTTGACTTGGTGACAACGACTACAATAGATGAGCGTTTCTCATGGTTCATTGTGTGGGGTCTCGTGTATACAGCACCGGGATCGGTTGAGGGAACAGATTGGTCCAATGATGGAAAATATCAATCGCCTGCTTGGCGAATTAAGATCCGCCGATCTGTTTATGAACGCTGCGACATCCTCAAACGGCGATGAAGAAGTAGAAGAAGGCGAACATGCCTTAATTGTGAAAAGACTTCTTATTCCTGCCAACGTCGGAGACCCTCCAACATTGCACCTTCGACTGCTTCACGCAACTGTCTGTGGGGAACGTTTCACCACTCAGAACGCCGATCGTTTTAAAGTGTTTGCAGCTACTACGCGAATGTTCGCAGCATCTGTTGCGGTCATTAAGACTCAACAAGAGCAAGATGAAAGGTGCACTGACGCACTTTCACAGGAGAAGGAACAGCTGCTACAGGAGGCACACACACTCCTAACCGACGGATGCAAGCTATTAGCATCCGGCGCAGAAGCCAAAGAAAGCATGAGGGAACGGTTCGCTGAGTACGGAAGAAGGGAAGCCGATATTTTGGATGCTTGTCGGAGAAAGCACTCAACAGCAATTGATGCGGAAGTGTCTTCAGCTGTTCAAAGCCTTGTGGATCAAGAAGATGCGCTTCTACAGCTGCATCTTAGTCGGCTCTTGAGTTTAGCCCCTGCCACTCAGGGGTCAGCTGGAGAAAATGGGAGCATCAGTCAAAGGGCAGTTAAATCCCTTCAAGGTTACAGCAATGAATGCAGGGCGCATTTTAAGCATGCGCTCAAAACAGCAACAGAAGCATTGCAAAAACGGCTCGGTAAGGACACTAGGCCCAGTAGCACTTTCGCCATGATCCACATGACAACAATGCTCTGGTAGGAGAGCACCTGACCTGCAAACGTAGAATGGTTGTTTATCCACGCATCAAACCCTGTTCAGTGGTGGTACACACAGGAGAGGCTCTCGCACGTGACCAAGCGTCTGCAGAGGCCCAACAACAGCAGCGTGAAGCCTTAGCTACCGTCCTTCTTGACCAGAAAGCTAGAGGGGAGGAGGAATATTTGGCTGGTGTCCACCGGCTCGAGCGGCAGCTCCTACTTCTTTGCACGCAACTCGCAATACAGAATAAAAAGGCTGTTGAAGAAGAGGCATTTCAGGTGTGTCGTATATTACCTCATGATAATAACAGAGGATTACAGCTGAGCTGCCACATCCCGCCGTATTTAACTTTGCCCAGAACAGCGCTTCTCAAACGTCATGTTTCAAAGCATTTGAGGCGCTTTTACCTTCATCTAACTCAGCCGAGGCCAGCTGCGTGGGTTGTGTGCTGCAGGCTGCGGTGCGTGACTGGACTGGTGCACTACAGTCCGCCATGAGGACAGAAGCACTAAATCTTCGGCGTCAAGCCAAGGCGGGCTGCTTAGAAGAGTCAGAATATAGGAAGCAAAAAGCATTGCTTGCTTCTTCACTTGAGCTAAACATCCAGCGAATCACCAGAGAGCAATTCGCGAACAAGCTTGAGCGCATCGAGGAGTTTGAGCGGGAAGCTACAAGGACTTACGAAAGCCTGTAGGCTATCTCGTGGTGTCATAAAATGCGTTCCCACAGTAAACCTGCAGCCGGGAGAGACGTACCCATTGACGAAGCTGCCGGTCCTTTTTGTGCAAACCGGGCAGCACAGACGTTGTAGAGTTTTTAATGCTATGGCATACGTTCCCAGAATGGATGCAACACGCAAACGTCAGCGACTTGAGGAAGACTTAAGAAGTGCGGAGGCAGATGTATTCGCAAGTTTGGTGCTCCGGCGGCTGAAGCATGCCTGGAGAAGCGCGGCTGAGGAAAGGAAGCTCCTACGAAGTTCCATCATCACGTCGTGGTCATCTGCAACTGCGAATCAGGAGAGGTTTGTTACCTAATTACTGCACAAAAAAGTAGTGTAGTCGTGAGAAAAGCTGAAAAAGTGTCTCACTAGGTAGCCAGCATATTAAATCCGTGATGGACATGTACCCAGTTGAAATCATTTTTCATCATTAGCCCTTAAGCAGCTTGAGGTGTGCGGGCTTGTACGTGCTTGTGGAGTCTCTATGCTCCGCCGGTATGGTACCTATTGCGCTAAAAGCACTGATCTCCGTAGACAATGAACGACCAGCTCATAATTAGTGCAGGCGCAGTGATTCGATCGGTAGGTTAGAACATACCGCCAGCGCTTTAACGAAGAAGAGGGCTAAGGATATTTTCAAAGCAATAGTGCTTCACGCATGCTAACGAAGCATTGAGGCAAATCTCCATATGCATCTGGGCAGGCTTTTTGGGTTTGAAGTCGACCTCCAGGACACCCTTGCTGCCGCACAGATAGAAAAAGTGGATGGAGAGGAACACAATTTGCGGCTTCAACAGGACCTGAAAGACAAGAAACAGCAAACTGAATCTTCAGTGGAAACGATGATCGACAAGTGTCGCGAGCTCCAAGGCCAGCTGCTGGGAGAAAATTTAGCGCGAATGGATGAGCTGCGACAAGAACAAGAAGATGAAATAAAATCAGCGATAGATGAAGCTAAGGCCTCGCTGACAGAGCCCCGCGAACTCTGGCTTCGTGCTCTAATCTGTGAAGCAGACCTTGATGAAGAAACGCAGGGCAACCTTCAGGCCATGGGGGAACGGCATGCACTAAGCGTTGCAGTGAGCTGCCTAGAAGCCGCTGGGCAACGATATTACCATGAAGCTGCTGCTGAAGAGAAGGACAGGGCAGAATTTGAATCGCTTGCCTTGCTGGATGAAGCATCCCAAGCTGCGGAGCTTCAGCAAAAAGTACTTGAACGAACGAGCCTTTTAAAAGCTGTATTTGACGAAGAATTCCACCGGAGCTCTGATGCGCTTTGGGCCGCATTCCAGCAGCACCTAGAGGCTTGCAAGAGGTCTCGAGAAAGCATAATGGAGGCTCAGCACCAGCTGATTCAAAACCGCATAGTGACTGTAAGTACCTGGGGCTTTACAACCAGGCTGCTTGCAACAATGTGGACTGGTCCGGTATTGTTTATTTTCTCATCATGCACATATTCTACGGGTCGTGCATGCAAACTGATGTTGCAGGATTGCTGGGTTCGGGAGACTCAAGAGATGCTTCGGCGTGGAACAGCAATGCCCTCTGCAGATGCAGGAGCGCATGATAGAGGGACCTTCGCCTTCTCCTATTTTCGCAGTGACTGGTATATAACGGCCAAATAAAGCACCTGCGTTCGTTGCAGTACCACCGTAGAAAAAGGTTGGCAGACTGCGTCTGTTGTCCTAGAAATCAGGCCTTTGGAAAGTTGCAGGTGACGGTGTCTTCAGGGAGGAAGATCTCCTCACTTGGCAGTCGGGGCAAATCAATGAACGGCTCGAAGCCAATGGCATACATGACAATCGGCTCAAGCAGCCACGAGGGCCAGATTGGGCAGCTTCCTACGCTTCATCTGGCCCCAAAGCTCTTGATGGTCTACAGGTGATTCCTCCCTCCTCTACTACTGCGGATACCATTGCTCTGGAGGAGTCCTTGCTGCTCCTAACTCCGGGCGTCATTCTTGATTATAATACTCGTCTGAGAAAATCCAGCCGCATGAGAGGCTTTAGTAGAGATTGCACAATAAGCAGTACCCTTCAGAGTGACCAACAAAAATCGGACTTTTGCCTGCAAGACAGAAGTATGCTTTTTTGTAGAAAAACTGAAACAGCACGCATCTTGGGACCATTGACAAGCCGAGCGTTCGGATATTCACTCCACCCTCCACCCATATCTGCGAGCGGTGCAGGGCAGCGAAATTGGCCAAAATTCCGCGAGTGGACAGAAGCCTTTGGAGGCCCCGCAGATGGGATTGAATACCGAATTTTGGGCGAGAAACAAGGGTTTTCTGGAGAGCATATCAAGAGCGCAGAAGGAGATAAGCCTCGCTGAATCTGAATGGCTGCAAAAATGTAGGGGTATTCAGGGCGGAAGGGCACCGGCAGCTACAGATGAAGCGAAAATGACCAGGGCGCAAAATACGCGTCTGGAGCATATGAAAGAGGCCTTTCGGAGGTGAGAAGGGATGACAGCTCAAAAGCGGCAGCATTTTTGCAGTACCCACTGTATACTGAAGCAGGACTATATCTTCTGCGTGAGATGGACTGCGGATTTCAGCAAGGCGACTGAGCTTCGTAAGGATTATGCAGAGGAGGTGCAGAGGTTGCTAGACGAAGACAAACAGGCAGAGGCGCAAATCGAACGTTCTAGACAGGCCGAGGCAGCGAATCTTGAAATGTCATTTAGAGTTAGGGAAGCCAGTCAGGATAGCCCTGAAGAACTAGAGAAGTTAAAAAACGAGCGCGAGCAAGCCCTTGCTGAAATGTTCAAGGATCTGCAGGCCCAGCGAGATATCCAAAAGGCGAACATCCAGCGGCAGCTCGAAAGGGCGAAGGCAGTGCTTGAGGAGAAGCAGGAACAACTTCGTCGGCAGTTTGAAGCATGCAAAGCCGAAGCACGCAAAGAATTCCTGGACTTGAGCAACAGCATTGTGGAAAAAGAAAGAAATGATAAGAAGGCTCAGCTGTTGGCTGCAGCTCGCATGAACCCAAGCGCGGAAAACATTTATGCGTGAGACGCATTGTAATACCTGTTTCTCCTTCCAGCAAAACTGCTTCGGCGTCCCATTACTGTGTCAGCGTGCCACTTCAGCGTGTAAGCTGGTTGAGTATTGAAACACAGCGTTGGATTCGGTCCAAAACGCCATGCCGTGCCATTGTGAAATTCTCCAGACTGCACAATCAGCTAAAAGAGGAGTACCGAGAGGACGTCAAAGCCCTTGTCCTCAAGCAGATGCAAGAAAAGGCGAAGTACAGGCACAACGCTGCGATGGAACAGAAAGCTGAAGAAGTTAGACACATGTGCACAACGGCTGGCAGGTATGAAGCATCGCTTCTGGTGAAAGCGCACACTTCATTCCCCAGCAAGCTTCACTCGACCATACCAAGTTCCTTACGTGAAGGTGGATCTAAACGATTAACCTTTGTGTTATCGGTTGTGACGGTGGTCCTTCCTTTTCGTGCTTACCGTTTTATTCGCTGCTCCAGCAAGGTCTTGGCTCCGTATCTTGCTGCATGCGTCAACGTGCACCTGAGCGTGTCTTGTTGCAGCAGTGAGCGGGACCCTGCTTTGGAAGGAGTAGCTGAGCATGCAGAACTAAAGCACTACACAACTGGAAAGACTTCTGAGTTGCATCAGGCTAAAGTTCGCGAAATTCAAGAAGCAGCGCAAGACGCCGCGCTACAGGATGAAGCGTTAGGCTTGCAGGAAGATCACCTTGCACGTGTCATTGAAACGTTAAGAGAGTTTACTGGAGCTAAAGATTCGCCCGCCAATGCTTTGCTTGAACAAGCTAGACAGGTAAGGAATCTCCATTACGCCAATCTAGCGTCGGGCCAATATCAAGGCGACGCTGTTCTCTTCGTTTTTACGGTGTTTTTTGTTGAGTGTATGCCTACCTGCCATGGGGCTTATTTACTGTGCGGCAAATGACTGTCTTGTTGCTGGCATTATACTGAAAGGCTCTCATATCACGAATTATCGTTGGCTTACGAGCTCAGAGGACCACCAACCCTGCACGTAGCTCGTTGGCGCCACTCGATAGGATGCAGAGCCCGTTTAGACTTGAGAAGCTGCATTCCGAGGTGTTCCTTCTTCTCAGGAGAAGTCAAGACTGACACAGGAACGCGACGACCTTCGCCGATTTGTCTCAGCCAGGCTTCAAGAGGTGGAGAAGCTGGTTCTTGAAAGGAAGCAGGCCGAAGAAAAGAAGGCGCTTCAGGAATCCCACGCAGCCGCTCAGCAACTGAAAATGGCAGCAAAGGCTCAGGAAGCAGCAGCACGAAAACGGGCACAGGAAAAGCAGCTGCAGCGGCAGCAACAGAGACACGTAGAAGAGGCTCGCAAGTTGCAGCAGTTCATCGAAGCGATGGGCTCTGAAGGCAAAACTTTAGATGAGCTCAGACAAGCCTCGCAGCGTCGCATAGAAAAATTGCGTCGCGCCACGGAACGAGAGCGTCAGAGGCAAAAGGAAGTGCTTGCTTCCAAGCGCAACGCCAGGGCAGCGAGGCAGGCGAAAATGTCTCGGGAGAGACAAGCGGTGAGGAGCTGGCCAATGGCGTCGCGAAGCATATGGCAAATCCAGCTGCCGTCACGCTGACAGTCAAACATCACGAGCCTCTGCTGCCACTCAAGTGAAATTCATGGATTGTTTCGTTTTTCCCTACCAAATGGAAATACTAAGATGGATTTCCGTGGGGTGATGTGCTGTTACGCTGTGGCAACAGACTCACATGTGCAACTGCGCCACAGAGCCACATGAGCACACCATGGCACTGCCAATTTATTTTTGGAAAATCCCACGCGCGTAACCGGCTTCTTTCTTCTTTTTTCATAGGCTCAAGCACAAGGAGAACAAGCGGAGGTGCATGATGCTCAGGGATTGCTTCAAACTATCGCAACAAAGTGCACGGCGACAATTGGCGAGTCTGCGGATGCCGACGCAGGTGAAAACGATTTCAAGAAGTTCGTGTGGAAAATGGAAGTAAAGGCCTTCGCTGAAGAAAAGCTGCAGAAGCTGAATGACGCTTTAGTGCGGTTCCTTGAAAGAGTTGAAGCAGCAACAAATTCTGGAGAACACGAGGCAGCGGGCGTTACCGTTTCCGAAGAACTCAGGCAGACTATCTTACAGGTACTCTTCTGGGGGAGCCAGCTGGAATGGCATTGCAACAATTGATTTGACATGTGTAGTTGCTTTAACCAAGACCTGACACTAGTCAAAGCTTGGTTGACAAGGTACTGAGGGATCATGCAGTGTACATTAAAATGTGTTGATTCGCTATTCTTGTGGTCCGCTTTCTTTTCTTCTAGGTTACAAAGCTTCTTCAGGCCATCAACGTGGCGCACTCTGCATCTAGAAACTGATTCGTCAACAAATGCTGACCCCATATTTGAAATTCTTGCTGTTTTTTCACCGTATTTTAGATTTGTGTAATGGATTTTAGATGCGCACGAATGGCAATTGCCATCTTGAAGCAGGCAGCGTATTTTCGACTTGTGCACTGAATTTTAGCTGCACGTAAATGGCAGTGGTCGTCAACCGCCCGTCGTGTGGCAGTAATAATTCCTTTTCCTTGACAATTCACACATAATTTAAACTCGCAAGTTGTAAGCTTCTCCAGTTTGGCAGTCGTGGGTCAGGACGCAGTGGTGCAAAAGTCGCAGCTTTACCTAGCGGTGTGCGTAGACTGTGGCTCTTGTTCATCGTGTGCGTAACGTAGACTCATCCAGGTATTCATCCTATTCACAAACACTACACGAACGACCCTGAATACCCGAATGCCGGGCTAAGGTTTCTGGTCACCTTGATAGAATGGCGTTGCACATGGATTTTCACTGTGCAAGCTGAGCCTAGCTCGGTCGTGTTCTTCCTTTCGGTTTCTCTATGTTGCTGCCTGATAGCCCGTTGTAAAACAGATCCACGACATGCGAGCAAATGATTTGTTCGCGACGGTATAATACTGCTTATTTCATGCCTAAAAGAAGATCAGCCACTTCTCCAGGAGGCGGCAGGGCTCCAACAGATGCAAGCTGGCGACTGGCCCCTGGATTGCTTTGTTTTGTGGAGCTACGTTGCGCTTGTGTGGTACTATCGGAGTCAGCTTGAGTGAGCATCTGTTGCGTGCATGTGGTCTTGGATTTGTCGTCTGAGAGCTCTGCCTTCGAGGCTGTCTGGCAAGGGGCAGCAGCTTCTGCAGCAGGGAAAACTGGAAGCCGAGGGGTCCCTGTAGGTGGATACGGTCGCAGTTGCCCTGACGGAGCTCGCGATCTTTCGGCTCCGGCAGGACGCGCCAAAAGTGCTAGTTTCGCCATAGGCGGAAGCCCGTGGGTTAGCTGGCTTGTATTCGTAGGTAGTGCAGTTGGTGCCTCTAAAGGTTGGGTTTCACTGAGACCTTCCCGAGTTGCTGGGGTGGCTGGTGTCGGCTGTGTTCCGGAGAAACTTCGAACTTTATGGACGGTATCTGCCCCGCAGCTACTATTGCTGCATCCAGGGTTGCACTGGCTGTTCGCAGCATTTGCAATGCTGTCACATTCACGCGGCTGTACATCAGGCACGGGGATGAAGTTGTTGGTGTCAACGAGCCCATCATTACGCCATCGCCTGCTGGAGCGTTGCCTTAGAGCGTCATTTTCTCCTTTGTCCTTTTGCTCCTTTTGCTGCTGTAATCGCAGTCGGTGCCTCCTGAGTCTCTCCTCCGCTACTGAGCGTCGTCCCGGCTGCACCTTATCTTTTTCTTGTATGCAAGTACTAGGAGCAGTGTCGTTTTTGCCCTCTCCCCGTTGTAAAGCACATTCCTTTGCTACTGTTGGAGGTGAAAACGACCTTCCCGCTGCTTGGTCGAGTGGGTTGGAGTGGGCACTGCTATCACTTGCATTTACCTCCATGAAGTCACCTGTTTGCATGAACTTTCTGGATGATCCACCCTGTCTATCACTGCGTTTCTTGCGCTGCAGCTTCTGATGCTGCTGCTGATTCCGCAGCAGCACTTCTTGTATGAGCGAAACTTGACGAGCAAGACTGAGCCAATGTTGCTCCCCAAAAGCTGGCTGCAGCTCCCTGGTTGCGCTATCGCTGACAGACACGGGAGCATTCGTTTGATGTGGCGTGCGCTTACTGATGTGCGCACTGTTACAGCAGCAACGGAGATCGGAATGAGCAATTAAGCGGTGTGGTGGTGAGGGGGGCAGTCTTTTGTGCGTGTGAAAATCAGGTGTCTCCTCCGGTATGGGTGGGCTTGCACTGCGCTTTTCCGCAGCATTTGGGGGGTCTCCATAAGCGGTTCGTGAGTGTGGCTCTTCCCGATGAGTTTCAGACCCCAGCAGCGCCATCTGCCCGCGCACCTCTCCCTCGAGAGAAAGCAACTGTTGCAAAGAATCGCTGTTGTTTCCGTGGTGCTTCTGAAGTAAAAGAGTCGCTCTTGTCTGTACAAGCTCTCTCGCAGCAAGAGCATCTTCTGCCCCTTCGTATAATACTGACGTGGAAGCTTTGGAGTCTTGGTTCGTTCTCTTCGCCCAGCATCTTCTGCTCGCTTCCTGTTGAATTGAATCTGGTGTTCCTACGGTGACGCCTAGGGACGTTATGGCTCTCTTTTTGCCCTGGGGCTCTTCATGGTCCTTCTTCAACGCTGGGGGTGTGAGGGATGCTCTTGTTCCACCTATGCCGGGGGCTGCACACAATTCACAAGCTGAGATGAAAAAACGGTGTCACTTCAACAGCAACAATTGCCCAACGGGCTGTCTCTATAGGCCTCAAAGAAGTTTGACGTGAGCGTCATCTTTTTGCTTCAGCACTACTTTTCTTTGCTGAGGGTTGCAAAAAGTATTTCAGCATTCGGCTGACTTGTAGAGGCGACGGCAAACGCGGAAGATGACAGACTCCTCTGCATATGCTTGTGTAGGACAGTTAAGCAGGCTCCAAGACGCTTAGCTGCTGGGCGGTGCGGGATGATGGCTTTTTGAAGTGAAAACCATACAGCTTCATTTATGAGTGAGTTGTTTCTCTCTTCTCTCGCCTTCTTCATGTGCGACTGCTGTTCCAACTGTTCATGCAACAACCGGGCACGAACTGCTGCTTCGCGCGACCGAAGAGCCCGTCCCATGCTGGTTCGTTCTTCACAATAGCATATTGCTTGCTGGAGATACTCCAACATGCGCTGTTGCTCTTCGATTACTTCCCAGGAGGAACAGGCTGGACCATTCTTCTCAACGCCGCTATGATTGAGGCCAGCATTCCAGCGAGACCTGGCAGTGCATGGAAGATGACGGGCCGTCTTGCATCTCCAGTCAGATCTGAGCTCATTAAGAAGGGGACTGGCAACAGACGTATTTGGTGAATAGCCTGAATTTGGTTCCACCAGAGGAACACACGTTTTTGAGCGGTGGCCACTAGAGACACTCTGAGGGGACAGCATATGCTGCCTGGAAGAACAGCCTGGGAGGCAGCTTGCAGAAGAAAAGCTGTATAACCCTTCCGATGCTCCAAACTTCAAGTTCAGCTCGCTGGCAGTGCCTGTAGCCAGAGCTTCTGGAGTAGTGGCAGATTTTACAGCGGTGCCGCCCGGAGCAATCGACGCTAGAGAATTCAGCTCGTTTGCCTCTTCCAAGTCGTTGAATAGAGGCGACCCAGAAGTAACTTCGGGTGTTTTAGTCTTTGCAGGTTCGTCAGGTTCTGAAGTCATGTTGTTATTTCAGTCCGTGGACACCGTTGCTGCATCTCTTATGCCATCTCGAAGTTTGCGATGGAATGTACGCTCTTAGTACTCGTTTGACAAAGGGCCTATTGGACCAAAGTTTGTCAATTTCAACCGTATAGAGTGTGTGGAGGAGCCATCACGTCCTATAAAACTTTTTTTGCAAAACACTCCGGTGCCCCGATTCTAAGTGCTAGAATAAAGTTGTCACCCTAAAAATATTTCTCATCTGCATTCAGCTGGGAGTCTGAAAAGACAAGCAAGGAACGGCCACTTTTTCCCCTCCTGTGGAGTGCTACCTCTACGCTTCCAGTGTGCTCGAACAACGCGGGGGCGGGGGCCTCGCAGCGCTGTAAACGGCAGTATGCCTCAAGGAAATAAAACCATACGCTTTTGTTTCTTATTTACGCTACCATTGCCAAGTGGATCTTTAGGTGGGTGTTGCTAGATGTTCTCAGCGAGCGTGTATCAGGCAGCCCCAGAAACAAGTCCAACGAGGTCACTGCGCCGGTGCACGATCAGTAGATCTACGCGCGCGCGTTTTCCACTTGCATTTAGGTGCCTGAAGACATGTCTGCAATGTGGACTGAGCTAGTTGTCATTGTTTACAGAGGAAACAATTCAAGGAGCATTGGGGATGTAATCTGTCTCGTAGAGGGGACCACAGGACCTCCCGCACGGCTGGAAGGTCCCTGGAACATGTGGGACTCTTCATGGTAGCCTCCGGACGCATCTGCAAAACACTATACCAAAACCAACAATTACTACAAAGCTTATTTATTGTCCGCAAAGGGTCCTCTGCATTACCTGCGGCGGTTCAATGCCGGACGGGCGACAGACTCGGACAGCCGTGCACCTATTGAACTCGTGGATTTTTTGAGAAGGTGGATGCTTTCTTTTTGTCTTTTTCTGGCCAGTGGCAGGAATTTCGCCTTGCCAACAAGACCCAGTCACTTATGATTTCTGTTTTCGAGCATATATTTCAGGCTGTCGGTTTGCCCACTGGGCCCTTCTGTCATTGGGTGCTTTACCGTCGCCGACAAGTTTCCACGACATTTCCCTCGTTGTGTCCCCGTTCGCTACTTGTTTTCAAAGAGGGACAAGTGTCTCTGGGAAGTGCATTTAGGCGCTCCAGGAGTCAATTTACAGCCAGCCAGTACAGGCAACAGCAAAAAGATCCTCATGTTATCTTTCGCTTGACTACACAAGCAAGAAGGAGACAGCCTCTACCATAGAACCAAGAATGTGGGAAGCTGTTGTCCAACTGCCACATTCACAAACAACACCTAAGAATGCTCAAGGGGGCGAGGCCAGCCACAGAAACCCGCCGATGCCCGCATTCACGCCTAACGCAGAGTGGTGTCTCGCAAGACCCTGGGCAAAAGTCCCGTCTGGTAGGATTCGGGACTCTCGGGCCCTTTGCAGCAGAGACATGAGCCCTATTTGCAGCGACACGAGTGACACGGAACCTGTGGATCGAAACTCCTGGGCCTTGCAGCAGGGTGGTCTCATGGTGCCTCCTCCACCACCGCCTCCTCCTCCTGATCAGCCCTTGCACACCATACCCGGTGGGTCCTCGAATTCATCTATTGTACATGCAATGCACATAGCCTGCCCCCAGCAACCGCCCAAGCTGGCCATACCCCTTCCACCCGCTGAGCCTCCCAACGGTATTGAAAGGCCCCAAGCATCGCAGGACAGCGAAATGCCCCCTACTCCTCCATGGAGAAAAAGCCAACTTTCATCAAGCCATGATCCTTCCAAATGGGAAGGTCTTCCAAGGACAGCACACTTCTTCCCGTGGGGGAAGGAACAGCAACAACCGGGCAATCCGCATCCCCACAGTAGCTTGAGTTCAGCTCAGCCTCTAGCAGACCCATATGCGTTGTCGGGCGGTGCCGATCCTTATGCGCATGCCACTAGCTACACCGGCAACAAACCCTCCTCGGCCGTGAATTCACCGGGGGCAGAGATTATGCAACAGCTGGAGCCAGTGGCAAAGCTCACGGCCAGTGCGCCTCTTCCTGCTGCTTCTGAAAGCTGTGCTGGGGTGTCTAACAACGTGCCATTGTTGCTGCCGCCTCCTTTACCGCACAAAATGATGGCCCACGCCCACGCTCCAACGGGACGGCCAAGCTACTCCAATTACGCGTACCATCCGGTATCGCCATCAGCATCAACAAGAGGACGAGAACATTGGCTGCCTCCTGAAGCCCATCGAATGCGCCACCGGCTACGGGCCCGGCACCGGCCTGAAGGAATAGTAGCTCAAGGTGGTTCGGGGGGCCTCCCGCCGTTTCCCTTTTCTCCACATTGCTACTACCCACCTCAGCAGCACCCACAGCAGCAACCACAACCTGATAGGGCATTACTAGCGCTTAGGCGCACCTGCTACCGATGCAGGAAACGAGGCCATGAGGCTAGCGAGTGTCCTAATGGGCAGGGACTGCGCCAGATGCGCTTGGACACTTAATTTTCTGGAGCTAGCACTCCCGAAGACGTAACCCTGGAAGACAACCGTGGCCATGCCACAACCCATTTTGCGTCACCGCTGTTGCCTTTATCCTTCGAAGAAGGCCCTCAACTATAGTTGGTCAGATGGCAACCCGCTGGTGTCCCCAACGATGCAGCTCGTGTGTACTGCATTACCCTTGGTTGGATCCACTCAACATGTATCACCAGCGCAGTAAATATTCAGCACTGTTGTACTGTCTACTGTCCCTTACAACCTGAATATCTAAAACGAATAGATTTCCTTCAACATAATGTCCACACACTGCATAGAAAAAGAAACGCTCAGGATCGCCTGAGGGAGGCGTTTCGAGCTCGTGGTCGCCCTTTTGTGAAGCCTTATATTGGTAAAGCATCGCTACACTCCATCTCGCAGCAAAGCCCATCCAGTTCACGTTCGCGTATCGCCATAAGTTGCTCCACTTTCCGCGTGAGAACCCCTACCTAGGAGGTAGGAATGGAAGGCTTAATAACTGTGCTGAACTATTGGCCGCTATAACATGGAAACTTGTTGCTCTCATCACTGTGCAAGCTGGCTTCGGCAAAGAAGCAGTCGTCTCCTTCTCAGCATGAGCCAAAAAATCTACCGAACTTCGCCGTGCGAAGGACCAACAAGTTCCAAAAAAAGATTGGGAACGGAGTAGTTCATTACTTGGGACGATCTTCGTCTCCGCTAAATCGGCTCTTGTTCCACCGCAAACAGTGGAGCGGCTTCTGCTGATCCGTGGCAGTATGATCAGCTCTTGAGTTGAATGTCAAAGAGTTGCTGGTGCGTCGATGCAGCTTGCCTCTTCTCAAGCAAAAACCACTAGGATTGCAAGCACGCAGTACCACGCCATGCAGAAGAATGAATAGTCGCTACGTCTTTGCTTGCCAATTTGGGCGCATCAGATTTTGTGTCAAGTGAGCATATCGCTTTCCTTGTGTCGGGTCGCAACTCTTGCTCTATCGCTTTGGCTTGCCCTATGCGCCTAGACGGTGTTTGCCGGGCCCCTTCTCAGCCAGCAGGGCTCGTCCTTGTAAACCTACGGCAAAATGCCGTTGGGGCATTGTAAACTCCAGGACTATGACGCTCTCTGCCTTATACCATCGTTATGCGCATATAATATTTAGTGGGCATATTGCGAATTCGTTGGTAGCACGGTGCTACCATGTGTACCGCAGCTATGCGGTACATCAGTCGTGACCTGTCCTGACGGAACGGGGTTTCTAGTAAATTAGATTCGCCTAGCTTTGACAAAAACTGGATGAAACCTGCAGGAGTTTATATCTAGGAACAAATGCTTACTCAAATTAGAATGTCCCCCATGAGTAGTTGGAGTTGACCATAATGCTGAATAATGCTAAATACGCTAGTCAGTTCTGCTAGTGTTAGTTTTACCATTGTTCAACAGGGACCTCATTGTCAACAGGATAAGCCATAAGCATTGGCATGAGTATTACCTGTTCAGCCGAGTCAGGGGAGGCCAGCAGATTGTCCAGTGGACTCAGTAAGGAACTCACCACGATGCAACAACTGCTGTCATTATTGCCGCTACAACAGCCCTAAGTGTACCAACAAGTCCTCCAGCACTAAAAATAACCTTCTTAGTTTTGTATATGCCGTGTACCTACATCTCCAGGAGAACCAAGGTCTAATTGTTCGTTTTATCTTAAAGAATAGACACTCAGTCGCCTGTTTTCAAGGATGATGCAAAAAAGATGGGGTCTGAAGCCTATTCTCGGGTAGCAACGCTGCATATGCAACGCATGTGCATTTGCTCTATTTCGTATTTCCCACTACCCTCTTCCTCCGCCGTGGCTTCTTCACTCCCTCCTGGCTTGGACACTTCTCTTCTCTAAACAGCAGCCAACGGATACACACAGGGAAGGCGAATGCGAAGAGCATCATGGCAGCAGCAGAAAGCTAAGCTGTCACTGCGTGCAAGACACCACGCACATGTTCCAATGGGCACATCCGCTGGACCCTATACTATCACTATAGGCACTATAGGGTCCAGCAGACACACATCAACAGCAGAGTAAGCATCAACAGCTATTAAAAATCTGGTCACCTACCTGTTGGATGTACTCCACAAGCAACTGACTGCCACCAGGTAGAACCCATGCTCCCCTCCCACTTGGTTTATTTAGTTCGAACTCCCCAACATACACTGCGCCAGTAGGAAGGAGCCAACGGCCCCTCTTCAAGAACCCCGCAACCCAGTGACCAGAAAGAACAGAACCGTCAGCGCTGAAACGGTAAGAACCTTCGCCGTGTTTCTGGCCAGCAAGCCACTCCCCTGCACGCAATGTTGGAGTGCTCGTTCATCAAAGGGCATACGAAACAAGAGTGGACGCTAAAGGAGCTTGCCCTGCGCCGCGTTGTGAGGCACGTTGTACCCATGCGGCACTTTGACTGCCGGTTCTGGTAGTACCTTGGTACACATCCCCATTATGATACACCATGCAACCATGTGTTTGCCGCTGTCCTTCAACGAAATGACCGAAATACTTCGCTTCACCGATCACCTGGGGTTCCCCTGTAAGAAGCGCAGCTGCACGCCACCAGGGGTACATTCAGGCAAGACGGCCCGTCAATGCAAGCACATAGCCGCATGAAGACATGACTTGCTCTTTCCAGCTTCACTCACAAGGAAGCGGCATCACAGTATCAGATTGTGAGGTGGTAAAATCGTGGGTTGATGTTAAAGCAGAACAGCGCAGCAACGTTAACCTCCTGTGAAAACGTGGTCACGTTACCGTCTTCTTCGCTTATTTCCCTCTTTTTGTATGTCGCATCACCTAGTCCACTCTTCTTGTTGTTCTCATAGCGACCTTTGAACTGGGAGCCGTCCGAAAACTGATACTCTCCTACAGAGGGGAACGACGCACCGTTGCCTTTCTGCAGCGCTACATGCGTCGTGGCACGTTTCCTTAACGCGAACGGGACGAACTTTTTCATACTGTCTCTTTTATTCCGCACGCTTCTTTAGCGTAAACATGCTGCTGTGTCGTACGATAGGGGAGACAGTCAGCGTAAGAACGCTGTTGCTTTACATTCGACGCTGGCTGCAAATCTTCATTCACTCTCAGCAGTCATCATGTGGTTCGTCTCAGCCATGCAGCCTGCCGCATGGCATAGGTGTGCTTCTCCAGTTACCTGCCCCATGCCTAATGCCTCCGATATATTCGCCAGAAAATCTCTCTGTATTTCCTTCCTCATCTACGACGTAAGTTGCGATGCCCGGGCCTGTATATCCCCTGCTGCTGGTGCTCCTCCCCTGCGGGGTGATAATTACAAACTTGGGAGTTCCGGGTTCATCGCTTTCTCCATCCATTCTGACGGGAAACTGAGTGTTTTGTGCTATACAGATGTTGGCTGAGAAGATGTCGAGCACCTTTTACTTTTTCTGCCGCACTGCAGGAGAAGGGGCACGTACACACACCCACTTAGCAATATATAGAATATAAACAAGGATATTAAGCATGGGACAAGTTAAAGCAACGTGCAGCCACAGTACCTGTAGCAGTGCTCAACACTGGTCGTGCCAGCAGCAGCAGTGACGCAGCATGAGAGTTCTACAGCAAATACTGGGAGATATATTTGCCCTACAACTTTATAATACAGTAGCTTCAAGACCCAGGTGAATTTTTGTGGAATTATGCATCCCTTACCATCTGGCTCACGCAGCCCCACGAGGTCACTCAGCGCCTGAGCCTCAAACGGTTGCGGAGCGGTACAAGTGCTGCGGCAGCAATTTCAGTGTGCTATGGCCACTGCTTTACTTTATAGCATGCAGAAGTGGAAATTTATGCATGTAGAAATTAAGTGGGGTGGCCCCTCCATCTTCGGTGCAAATGCCATCTTCAATCGCTACACACCGCAGGAGTGTTGAACTCCAGTGTCGCTTGAGTTAGCTGATTTGCTCAAGTGTGCTAGAAGCATCCAGCTGGTCAGACACCGCACTGCTGTCATATCCTTTAAATGTCTATTCAAACCGCATGCTGTAATTAATTTGTCGCTGCCGCTAACCCTTTCCGCGGTTCCTCATCGGCCAGCGTTCCAGTGCAAAGGTACCCTGTTGCCCATTCTGCCGCTACAATGATCTTATTGTGCAGCTCCACAATGAAAATTTCCATCTGCAGTTATAGGGGTGTCTGACAGGCCTTCGCTGAAGCTGCAAGCTAAAGGTGGAGCCTCAATAAAATTGTGCTTACGCAGCATCGATGGAATGAGGAAACAGGCGCTTCGTTCATAGAGTATACACCAGCACAGATACTCTTAAAACGGATTACTTTTGGAGTCTGGAAAGTCTGCAAGGCGTTGAGTAGCTCATATGCCATCACCCGTCTGGGGGGGAGACTAAATTAGAGCTAGATATGGGGGCTGCAGCAACATAAACGGTTGTTTGATACTCGAGTATTCGTTCTTCCCTGATTCTGCTCATCTTTGGAGGAGTCAAAACGCACTATATGTTCATGCAAAACACCAAAGGTTAGGACCCTTCCAAGCAATATAAATACGCCATCTTCCAGGAGTGTTCAGTTTTGCGTCGTTAGCGGGTGCAAAGAGGTGCAGCATCACGTCAGCCCAGCGAATTGCCAAGGACCAAGGTCATTTTGGGCTTGGTAGGTCGTTGTGGTCCACCCGGCATCTTCGGGAAGCGTTCTGCTGCCCCTTGCCGAAGGAAGAAATTCTGCAGTTCCTTGAGCGCCTGGTAGGCCCTGGGCTGCAGCGGTGCTTGCAGATCCTCCAAAAACTCCAAAAGCGCCATCAGGGGCCCTAAGCTGCACACCGCTTAGCTCCTCATGGGTAGATGCAGCTTGTAAACGGCTTCCGGCGAAGTCCACTCCGAAGGAGTTTGACTGTAGGTGTTGAGGAAAGGCTGGTTGGTGGAGCTGTTGCTTCTCCGGGATCAGTCCGTTATTTTCCCGTTGCTGCGTGACTTGCGCGGTGGTCTGCCTCCCTATCGGTTGTGCAGCTGCACCCGTATGCGGTGGAAGAACCATCCCGTTAGCAGCCAGTGCTGCGTGTAAGACCGAGACCGGAACAGACGTTGCAGTCGGTGGGGGCTCTATGGGAGTCCAGCTGGTGCAGGGAGGGAATATTGGGGCCACCTTGTTTCCGTCGACGGGGTTCCTTGCTGGGTAGAAGGGAGATTTCGGCTCAGGTAATGCTAGGTCCTCTTCTGAGGGAATTGCTTCGTCGCCTCCCCACGCCAGAGCAGGTAGAACAGTCCCTACCTCCCTCTCTGTGATAGATTTCGACTTCTCACGGGTTCCAACATATTGCTCCTGCGACTGAGGACGCTGCCTAGTGATTTTACCATCTTGTAGTGGGGCTGATTCGAGGGCTTCCCTGCGAGGTGCGGGGCCCAGAGGCGCCCCAGGAACCACGCCGGTTCTCGGTGTATTCATCGGTAAAGGGTGCGTTCCTACTGGGGACTGGGCTGCTCCTCCATCTATAGTATACGGCAAGATCTGTTGAGGTTGCTTCTGTGCCCCCAGCTGGGGTAATGCAACGCTACCAGCTTGGCCTCCGTGCTGCATTACCAACTGGGCCCCATTAAGGCGTACTGGGGGATTGCTTCCCAAATTGCAGGCAGCGGCCCTCGGGGGAGCCGCAGCGGAAGGAGGAATCCACCGCTGACGTGGAGTCTGTAGAGGACCACCTGCCGCTGCATTTTGTTGTTGAGCTTCAGGGCATCCGATAGCAGGAGTAGCCGGTTTACCAGCGAACCGCTGTATAAGCTGCTGCAATCTTGCTCTAACGGAAAATGTTCTTGGGGGCTGGGGAGGCTTGTGTAGATGATAGCAGCATCCTCCCACTCCATGGGGAGCCGGCCAGGGCAAATTCAGACTGTCAGAGTTTTGGGGTGCGTTGGACGTCGTCACCCCGGATCGATGCGCTGCGACGGCTGGGTGAAGCAAGTAGTTGGCTAGCTGGCAGGATAGTGTTCCTGGAGGTAGTTCAAGCTGCTTCTCCACCTCGTCGGGAGGAGGCTTGTTGTTATGCCTCAGCACGTCAGGGAGTTGACTTCTCGCCATGAACTCTCTGCAGACGCAAAAGGCAAAGCGACCTACCAGAACATCTGGAAAGGAGACAGCATTTTGCATTGCTGCTACGTTGCTCACCACGCACTGCACTGCATGCGACAATACAGATTTCCCCCTTTTGCTTGTGCACTTCTTAGTCGCTTGTGCTGATACTTGTTTTCTTGCCTGTGCGAGTACATCAACAGGCAGAGGATGGCTCGTCGCATTTCCTTGGCTGCTTCAGGACCGGTTGCGGCAGCTGACTGAGGAATCCCCTTAGTAGAAAGGTCAGAACTGTTTTGAGGGTCTTTGGACCTGACTGAGCTATTGTCCTCGTTGTGCACCATGCATGGCTGTCGTGAAGCATTTTTTGCGTGCTTCTGTTCGTCCACGGCCTTTGTTGGCTTACGTACACTGCCCCTTGTGGCCGTCTTCGACCAATCACGACCTCCCTCAGCTTCTCCCCGATTACGGCCGCGCTGGTAAATTCCTTTGCTCCTCTGCGAAAGGTGGCTGTCCCCCCCTCGCCTCATAGCATGCTTGGTTATATCAGAGATTCCATCATTTGCGCTGCAACGCTCAGTAGAAGCGGAGGAAGTACTCCTGTACGTGCGGCTGCTCCCTGTACTGTCTGCATGCAATTCGGGATAATCTCCGGAACAAAAAGTTCATGAGATGCTGCCTCGTACGAGTGGATAGTCTTTCTACCTCCCTTAGTTAAGTTTATTCTTGTTTCCCTTAAAAGTTTCATACTCTACGAAAAACAGAGTGATTGCACATCCAGGATGCATCCTTCGACAGGCTCTATCCTGCTACTTTGTCAAGAAAAGAGTAACTTGGAGTGAGCCTCATTGCTTGTGGAATCTTCGCGAATATTGCTACTACATTTATGCCAACGTAGAATGACTCGGGGGCAAAGTCTCTAAATTTGGCACTACTTCCAGCCCGTGTGATCAAAGCAATTGCTGAACGACGCATTTCTAAAGATAAGGCTTTCAGAGGCACATGCGCTCTGGAGCATATTCCAGTAGTTCGTGGCTTTGAGCGTGGTACTCGTGTCTCGTAGCTTATGCGTAATGGTGGTGGGAGGAGGGGGAGAGGGGGTTTGTAGGGTTCTGCACGGAAACTTCAGTGAAGAAAGACTAGCCAGAGCGATTGGTAGAAACAGGAGACGGCGTATAGCATTGTCGCATTGATCTCGAGTGCTGCAAAGACAAGCCACCAAAAGAATACTGCAGGTGCACACAAATGCAGTGCTTCGCATCCCCAGCACGTCGTCGGCTGTCTTGTTGGGTACCGGGCTGTTTTCTACTGCATGCACACCTTTTGCTCTGTCGTATGTGAAGGGGGAGCGTTGACTGCTCTCCTGCTCCGACTTTTCTGCCGAGAAGCATAGAGAACACACAATTCTGATCAACCGTTGAGCAACAACGATTTGTGTTGTTTCCTTCCACGCCTAGCATATGCTACACTTTGATGGGCAAAAGTAGCATCGTTAGACGTTTCCAGTACACTTGTTTCGAATATGCTCATGATATCATTGGTGGAACCTGGCTCCCCATTTCTGGTAGGGGCACTAACCTTGGTTTCCCTTGAAGGTGCATCTCTTAGTTCTTCAAGCAACACGGCCGCAGTATCGCGATGCTGTGGTGGCTGAGGCCGCGTTCAAACACAGCTGTACTACACCTCATGAGCATTTATCCTATGCTGCTCCTTCACAGAAGCTGTAAACAGACTTTGTAGGTTGGCGCGGAATGTGTGCCCAACAATTTTAAGGGAATTATTGGCTTTTCTCATCAGCGTCTTGCCTCGATGTTGTTAAGTTGTTGTTGCAGCTCCATCAGTTCGTCCTTGAATGTATCTTTGAGCGTCTGCAGAGAGGCAAAGGTTCAGCTCACCCTAACCGGGTAACTTCTTCAGCAAGTGCTTCAACGCTTGATTAGCGAATTCGCTTGAGTGGGAGAACTGAGAGCTGAACTTTCTGTGGACAACGTCAGTAGAAACCGTGCACGAAACAGATCTTACTCAACCTAGCTTTCCCCTTTACTTACTTTGACTGCTTTCTGGATTTCTCTTTGGACGTCGCTTTTCACATCAGCCATTGCTTGTTCTCTGGTATCTTCTGTGGGCGACGCTGAGTTCTTTCTACCAGATGCGAAACCAAGAGTACCTCCCGCCTCTTCAAGAAGCACGCCCCCCACGGAAGCCGCCACTGGCGCAGGCTGAGGTAAATCACTAGTCGTTTTTGGCATCTCAGTTGCTCGTAATGCTGCAGCGCTAAGAAGACTGAGCTGTTGCTGCAGCAGGTGCTGCTGCTGCTGCAGCGTCTGCTGCTGCTGCAGGAGTTGTTGCTGCTGGGTAATCTGTTGTTGTTGCTGTTGCTCCAGAATTGTTAAGGGTGCTGATGTGGCGGTTCTGACCGAATCAAAAGCCTGATGAAAGCCACCAGTGCCAAGTGTTGAGATATGCGGGTTTTCAAGCAGAGCAACAGTTGACTGGCGAGGATCGCCCCTGTGCCGTTTGTTAATATGTTTTTCTAAATAGTAGGAGTTGATAAATTTTTTGCCACACTCCCCACACTGGACGAGCATACCAACAACTATTGCTCCATTTTCTGTTGAGGAGTTGCGAAGACCTCCTTCCGACCCAGTATCAGCGGGCGATTTCCCTTTTGACTGTACAGCTGACAGCCTCTGCTGATCCTGTCTGCCTTCCTGGATTGTCTCATATTGCTGCAGCTGTTGTATCTGAGAGCGAGTTGCTGCCGGCAAAACTGCGCTGGTACCTGACTGCAGGGCTTCAAAAATGGGCGTCCTGTCCCCACTCGTCGTCAGCGTCTTAGCCATTTTGCCTCAAGATTTTCATGTGAGCTTCTCCCCGCTTTACAGAACTTTGGGGAAGATGTAACTGCTGCACGCGTTGCAAAATTAGGAAATAACAAATCGGGCCGACGAGCGGAGCGCCGCCACGTTTTTCAGGCGGCTTCCTCACTGCGGGGTGCAGCACACCAAGGAATGCTAAAACAAATTCATAATTTCGTCACTAACTTTCGGGAAGAAGTGAAAAAAGCCGATCAACGGCGGGATGCAGCTTTGTGCCAATGCTTCGTCCCAAGGTCACCCCTTCACAACGGAGCCGCATCACATCGACGGAAGTTCAAGCTCCCCTAAAGGCTCGTGCTGGAAGATAGTGTGTCCCATCTCAGCTAAAACCCTCTGAAAAAGTATCTGAGAGGAAGGACAAGAACGTTCATTTTTTTTAGAGCTCCGCTTGAGGGGCGACGCAGCTTGTCACCAGCACGCCAGGCGCAGCACCGCAGCTGATCAGTCTGCCCCTATCCCCCAGAGACAAAGGAAATCAAGTCTGGTCCAACAAATATTTGGCCAAAAAGGCAGGACAGCACTGAAAAGGAAGGAAGCCTCGAAGATAACCATTTGGTATCGTCACGGAAGCCGCCGTGCGCCCGCATCTGTGCAGATTGAACCCTTAGCATTCAGTCACGAAAACGGTGGGAGGCAAGAAATACGGAGTTGTACACAAAATTGAATGCTTTTGTTGTCATGAATGGAATTTCACGCTCCTGTTTTCGCCAGATTACATTAAAAAGCTCTAGGCAGCCTCTCCAGGGCATGGCACGCAGCGTCCCGTATTCGTTGTATATCTCGAGAGCTGTTTAAAGTGGCAAGCACTTAACTATCAACCTTGCAGGTGGCAGTTATCCACTGGAGCCTTAGTTTAGGGACTCTAATATAGTTAGGGTTAGGGCGAGGGTCTCACTTGATCCTGGAGTGTCAGTACGATTGGTCCGCCACAAGACATCCTCCCCCCCTCCGGCTATTTCAGGAACATATGATGCTACAATGATAATCCCATACTATTTCTCACCACTGAATTAATGCATTATCTCTAAATCACACTGTGATCAACCTTGAAGAGCCCCCGCCGCCGCATGAGAAGTCCAAACTATCAGTGACCTCCTAGAAACCCATCAGCGACCAGCATGTTTGCAGGTGGCCACACTCAAATATTTACTTGATTCCAGAAAGCAACACCTCTGTAGTGGGGTTCCAGTTCTACGGTTTGCCCCTATTTGCGAGGCTCCTGGCTACTGTGTAGCACGTTGTTGCCTCCAGCCTCAGGAATGGGTTATACTTTGATTTCATTTCCTTTTTTTTCCTCTATTGATGTTATTAAAGCATACTCAATTGCCTCCCAATTCGGTCTTTGTGTGGAACATCATTCTCCTGTTGTCCTCCTACTCTCAGCTTTGACTCTTTTCCACAATTTCGTTTCTCCATGCACTTCGTCCACCAGGCTTCTGGAAACGTGTGTACTGTGGTTCTGAAAAGCTGACACCAGTGACTTTCCATATTCCTGTTGGTGTTTTCTTGCGCGGTGTACATGCCGGACACCACTTCTCTTTTTTATAAGAGGAATGATGCCCGGCCTAGGGCTTTGTATGCGAGGGCATTTACCGCACAAAGAAAATTACGGCAAATAATCCGAAAACAATTATTCACTCCTATCCTACCCATATGCCGGAGTCTTAGATGCTCTCATGGTGCATTGGAGCAGCGTGACTGGGAGTATATGACTTTATCTAACTCCATAGCGTGTGTAGGGCTATTCTGCAACACCGGGTGCCTTCCAGAGTGGCATGGGCAGACCGGGCAGTGCACTGTATATCGACGGAGCACAGAAAATATTTCTGGCGGATACTACCCCGGTAGTACAGATTGTTGTGCAGCAAATTGGAACAACACCTCCGAAAGCCTGAACCGATGAGACCCAGCATTACCCCAATTCCTTCTGTTGGAGCTCGAAAGTCCTCCCCGCGAGCGCAAGCTCGGGACACTCACGAGCATGCGGCAATGCTCATTCCTGCAGTAAATCACTTGTACGCACTCGACTTCGACTGCAAACCCTGCAGTTCTCCCGTGCCCGTTTGTTCTTTCTCCGCAGGATGGTTTGCCCAAAGTTGGCGCATGCGCCTGTTCTTGCGTGCAGCCTTCCAAAAAGGACCCAAGCAAGTGCTTAACGATTGTGTGCAGTGTTGGTGCATGTAGAGAATGCGGCTGAGTTGAGTTGAACGTGCACCTCTGCTTGTAGAGGCAACACTGGTTACAGCAAGGTAAGTTGCAACGATGCTAGGGCACTACTATCTCTTCCCCATCCCCAGGCCATCCTGTTACAGTGCGCAGGGCACCTGAGGAATGGCAGAAGGCGGTGTTGCTTTTATTAATTTTTTGTTTCAAGCATTTTGACACTATTGCAACTGGGAATTCTCTTCTGGTCCGTTGTAAGATTCTCGTCACAGGTGGGCCTTGGGGGGAATCGACTTCTTCGGAACTTTTTATACCGCTTTCCTGCTGATGTGTACAAGTCTGGCCATGCGAGTTTTTGTGTTCCCAGGTTGTGGTTGGGGGACAGGTGTTGCTCGCCAGGAAGAAATAATCTGTAGTGGGACATAGGGAGCTGCCCCGCAGGGGCTTAGTAAGAGAAACTGGCAAGTCAATGGGGCTTAAAGAAATACCCAATTCTGGAAGGAGGGCGTTATAACCCAGTTTATTCTAAGCAAGGGACAACAGAGAAAGGCACGGGCTCGCTCACCTGCAACATTCTCCGTGGCCCCCAGATCACCTCCCCGTTCCAAGCCACATCAAGCCACATCGTGTGAGAAGGCTATGAACCCTGTCGGAATAAGCTAGCGGAAGCCGTTCCGCGAATGTACTGTTGCAGGGGGCTCTAAAGCCTCGCAGGCTACGTCTTTGTACAGATGCTAGTGAGAATGCGCCCCAGTCGTTTACAGCCCATAAATCCCAAGTGCCGCGAAGCCCGTTTAGTTGTTATATTGAGGGGAACCCCTCACAATTACTCGCCGCGGTCACTCCTTGTTGATGACTCGTCCACAAGAGAAAGCTCTTGCGACCAGCTATTGCGAAAGTGATGTTATTCTTTACCAGTAGCACGTTTGGACCCGTACTCATGGCCCAGCATTTCCCGAGGTGCACCTCTGTAATTTTGCAGAAGCAGGCAGTTGACTCGCTTGCTGTATGACTCCCCACCCGCTTTGCCAATTGTTCACGGTTAGCTGTTCCCTGTAGAGGATCCACGTGCTTAGCCAGCAGCTGGTCCGCAAGGCATGGGTTAAGCTACTGCTTCAGTTGACAATTTACGTAATGCGAGTAACACCACTGCACACAGGCACGTGGTCTTTATTGGATCTGGACGCAGCACATCAACGAGCTTGGAATCTCCTGGGGGAAATCTGTGCGATCATAGTTGGAATCTTCGGCTAGATCTCTGGGGTAATACTGATCACAACGATGCATGCTTGGCGAGAATTCCGCCGGCAGATACTGAACATTTTGCACCTTTGAATGGGTTTTTGAGAGGGTCAAAGAATGCCCATTTTAGTCAGTATGTAGCGTGGCACCGTTTGTATAGCGGTCTTGGCTTAAAGTGTGACTGAACTGTAAAGTCCAGGACGCTTACCGGCATAACTGAATTGGTGATTTTTAAACCATGTTGCGCGATGCAAGAAACCCTACAGAAATGTTCTGGCAATAATCGGAAGCCTTGTGTCTGTCAGTATGTATGACAGGCCGAGTACTTATCTTCCGGCGATAAGGTTTTGTTGCTAGGAATGCCCTTTGGGGGGATACGTGGGTGGCCGCCGCGCGTTCACGCATTCTGCTCTCCACAGCAGACTATGCAGCCGAATTCCTCTCATGCGTTGCGTTTGAATGTGAATCGCCCATCTTCCCTACAGGTCGTGGCAAACTTATTCCGCCGAAATTAGCTTGATAACGTCTCCATCCGTATGCGTCTTTGCTTTCTCCTTACTCTCACACGTGCTGATACTGATAGTCGGTTTCCTCCGACAATTTTTTGACGTATATAACTTATCTGCGGCTGCGTGCAAAAGCCTAAAAGAAACATTCTTCATCCCCGGAATATCCTTGTGGCTCCCAACCGTATTGTAGTAGCTTCGTAAGCCACTATCATAAGGTTGGAATGCTGGAAATGAAGCATTCAGGCATTTCTATGCCCTTGTCCTCGAACTTCCGCGAACTAGTATTCGTGTTCTGGCAAAGCATGTGCATGCCTCTTTAGGCAAAAACGGGGTTAATGCAGTGCATTGGTGCTCTTCGGCTCCTAGAGACCTGACAACTGCCAGACCGTCGAAGCATCAACTGTAACATGCTCTGCATCAGGTTGCTGGATGTACTGGCAATGCCCGTGTGCCCGCTTGCTACTGGAAGACAAGTTTGTACTTAACAATTATACAGCGTATTAGTGCATACACTAGAGGGGATTTTCAGTATGCCTGCACAGAAGGAAGCTTTGCTGCAGAAGGTGCAGCAGCAACTCTTGCAACTCAAGATAGGCCTCTTCCTCTGCCCACTGGTTCCAGTACCCTGGGCCAACGAAGAGCTGCGCAGGCACGGCGAGATCAGCTGCACTTTTTGGAGTTACCGGCCCACGTTTGTCATGACGGGATTGCAGCAGCCGGCATTTTGGATGAAGCCAAAGTCTCCCCGCTATACTCTGCGTGGCTCACCCGAGCAGGCATCGTTCATGAAGCGTGGTGTAGACCGCTACAGGGTTGGAACGGGGCCTCTCCTCACGCGAAAATGAAGTTAAATATATTAAGAAGCTTGCCTGAAGATATTTGACGTTTGCGCTGAATGATAGGCATTTCCCAGCATTTGCCTTTCGGTGGAGAGCTACGTCCAGAACCTATCCGTGCTTCTCCCCCCAGGAGAGACTGCCAGGGATGATGGCGCCTCTGTCGAAAACAATTTTGTTGAGTAAAGCAATGCGCGGGAAGTGAAAGGGTCGC